TAAAATAATTATTGTACAACAATCATTTTCCTTCCGTTCTGTTTAACTAAACAACCATTTTTTCTAAAAATATAAAAAAGGTAATACTTTATACAAAGCCATTTTTGTGATATACAACATGCTATTATTTTAAACAAATTTTTGAAGACTACTAAATCAAAATGGCGTGTTTTCCAGGAATTTTGCTTCTGACAAGAATGCATTCAATGGTGCTACAGTAAAAAATGTAAATTCTTAAGTTAAAATTGTTTTTATTAAAGTTTTTATTTGTAAAAGATTTACGAATACTAGAAGGTTTTTTATTAGTAGAATTACACTGAGTTGTGTAATTAAATAATTTTCTTATTTATTTTATGTAGCCATCGAGCATATTTGTTCCAACAGTACCAATAATTAAATTTAGCTTTAATACATATGACATTTTAAGTTGCAATAATAGATAATTAGTTCGATTCTAGTTCAAAACGCCCAAAAATTTTTTACTCCAAAAAAAAATTAACAAACCAATTTGATTACTCCTCTTAAACCATATGACAATTCTTCTAATGTAATTAAACGGGTACTATACAAGAACAAAATTTTCTTAATACTACTTTCTCATATAAATATAATATGAATACCACCTTATTTTTTCATATCTTATTAGATGTTATTGCTAGTGCTTTACAATGGGTATTGGAACATTTCTAAATTATTTTTTCGCCATTTTCTTTTGTCTTGTGACTATATATAGTCATCTATAACTACAACTTGGTTTCCTTTTTGACCATTTATCCAACAAAAACTGCTTTTATTACTGTACGAAAGGAAGGAAGAAACCTTGCATAAAGATAAGAGTAACTTGGGGCTGTGATCCTTGTCAAACTGGTACTGTGGGATTCTTATCCACCAAAACTCCCTCCTTTTTAAACTTATTGATGCAGCGAGTTCTACAATACTCATTGGACTTTGGCTCCGAAAGAATCTGTTATCATTTAATATATACCCGCCCAAAATGGTTCACGGCAAATATAACTATAGGCATGGTTAAAATAACCCAACAAAAAACATCATCGCATTAGCATCAAAGGTCATTAGTATCACACTTGTATTTTTATGCACACCTCCTTACACCGTCAAATCTCCAGCCCGACATTTTTATGGACTGCGTTGACCACACGTCTCCTACCAGTTTAGGCCAGCGTGCTACAGAATCTTTTAGAATAGATTCCGTGAAATCTTCATATTCTACTTCATCTAGTCCATTATTTAGCTCGAAGGATCCCACCTAAGAGTGCATCAGCCATTGCATTTAATTTTTGTGACTTTTAGCCAATTCTAAGTACTTGCGTACCCTTGTTATAGATAGAACTTATCTACATTATTTCTGGCATTAAGAGTTGTTCTTAAACTAGATGTTAATTCCTTTGAAGATGTAAAATACTCAAATTTCATCATTTTGAAAGGTCCAACACACCTTAGACGTAGGAACAAAAGGTGCTCGTCAGAATCGAACCATTCTTTTGAGTATTAGACGCACTGATTTACAAAAATTGCTCATTAAGGGGTAAAAAATTGCAAAAAAATTTTTGGCGTTTTGAAAAGAAACAAATTGGTTCATTAAAAAATTAAGAATGAAAATTATCCCGCACTAAAATAAATAAATAAAAAGGTTTGGTTTATGCTTTATCGTTTTTTTGTTAATTTTGTATATTTCTGTTTTAATTTTTTGCCGCGGTAACATTATTGAAATTAAAATATTTATGCACAGAAAATTTTTAATAAATATATTTTAGTTTTAATAAAATATTTAAATCATAAGAGATAACGTAGAATTTTAATTTAATTTAAAAGTAACACTTTTAAATTAAAACAAAAAAATTTAATAAAAAATATATCTTACATTTGAAAAAAAGCTTTCATAAGTTTAAAATTTTGTTTTATAACATAATAACGTAAGCTATTCAACATATATATAAAATTAATAATCGAATAAAGTATTTGAATTTGTCTTTTTTTTTAAATATTGTAAAACTCTTTTTATTTTTTATTAAAAAGATGTAATATTATTGTAAGCGTTATAATTTTATGCACAAAGCATTCTTTTAAAGGTGATTTTATAAGCTGTAATTGGAATGTTTTTGGTGAATGCTACCAGTGGAAAGATGGTACCCCTCAATAATGCTTTCTGTACAACCGTCTTATTCATTCGTTCTGTTTTATAATATGATTTAAAAACGTAAGATTTATTTGTTGGGTATAAAATATTCGCTTTAATATTATGATGCTTCATTCCTACCAGTTAAATTTTTCTTTTTTATTGTTTCAATAATTTTTTACATCAATAAACCGATTGATCTTTTTCATACATAAAAAATCATTCAGCCATTAACAAAATGTTCTGTTATTTAAAAGCACTTTGATTAATCTTACAGCGATTGATGTAATAATTGACAATAATGCCTGTGTCATTAAATTCTTCAATCATGAGAGTGTGTTATGCAGAATGCTGCTCGATAATAAAAAAAGTGAAATTTTAAATTTTTACAGATAAAACACATTTTAAAAGCAAGATGTAAATTTAAAAAAAGAAATCCTTCAATATTTTGCAATTGTTGTTGAGAAAAAGACAACGTTAGCTAGTATTTTTAAAAAAAATCTTTAATTAGATATTTCAACACGAGACAAATTATCATCCCACATTGATAAAAAGACGAAATTAAAAGTAGAATACTCAGTATTAGTTAAATTAGTAGCGTATTTTTTTTCAAAAACCTTTTCCATTTCTTCGTCTTTCGGAAAAAGATCAGCTACTTTAGGTAATTTGTTAAAAACATCGCAAAATTCATCATCAAATCTACCAATCTTTTCATCAAAAATAATCTTGTAATTATCAATTTTATACTTTAATAAAAACGTTAAATGCTGATCGAAAAAGCTAACAGAGTTTTCAGAATCACTAAAAAAAATATTCTTAAGAGATTCTGCATGCTCTATAAACTCATCAACAGTTTTGATATACCTATCAAGTTCTTTTCGAACTTCGATATCTGTTTGTTTAAGACGACGTTCTGATTCCCAATTATGTTCCACAATAGCTCTAAAAAAATATCTTAGATCTTTTTCTGGAATAAAAGCAATGTATCTCAAAGAGTAAATAATTAAAATAAAATCTTCTTCATTAATAGATTTTAATTGTGAATACTTTTCCACAAGATTATTGTAGAGAGAATAAACCTCCACAGAATCAATCATTTTTTCTTTTTCTTCAGAATTTTCAGTTAATGTTTTAGTCCCAGTATCATGTTTTTGTCCTATCAGTACTATAAATATTGTTAAAGCAATAAGTAAAGCAAAACTAAAATAAGCAATATACTGTTTACAAAACATTAAGGGCAAATTTCATTTTGAATTTATACTTATTTTAGAAACAATAATTATTGTTAAAAAACTATTGACAATAATAATACAACAATAATCATTGTTAAAAAGCTATTAACAAAAATAATACAAGTTTTAAGAAAAAAAATTATTAATTGAATAAATTATTCTAGTTAATATAAATTAAATGTCAATTGTTTCGATGTTCATTGATAAATTGTCATAATTTACTAAAAAGTGTTGTCATAGAATTAAAGATTTATGCTATTATTAAGCTTTAAAATTAATGTAATTTAATAAAATTTAATGTAACAATTTGAAGTGTGATATTTTGTAAAAATGAAACATGTATTATGTAACAATAATCATTCTTCTCTCCTTATTTTTAACTAAACAATTTTTTTGAAGTTATCAAGAAGTAAAGCTGAATTAAAAAACTTTTTTGTGTAACGCTTAATAATGTTGTTTTACACAAATTTAAAAATTTTGATTTATTTTTCAACCCTTTTTTTACATTTTTGTGAATTTCTGTTTTAATTTGTCAAAATATAATAACATTATTTTAAGCAAAATATTTACGCACAAAGCATTCGCTGTATTTGTTTTCAAAAACTTAAATTTTTGTAGCCATAACCATGGCAACATAATAAATTGGAAAGTTGATGATAGAATGTGAAGGCTATCTTTATAATGCTAATAATATTAAAAAAAGGACTTGGGTGACGTTGTACTCATAAAAAAAATATTTGAAGATATTTATTTGAATTTTTAAGTTTTGTTAATTATACACATAAACAAAATAATTGTATACTAATGAAAAAAACAGGTGTCTGATATAGTTAAAAAGCAATTATCGGCTGCAATTAACCACTAAAAGACATTTTGGCTCGTTCACTTGAAGATCTCGATCCAGACTTGCTTATAAAGTTACAAACGATTAAATCTCTGAGCAATTTAATTTCTCACACATGTAAAAAATAATTATAAAAGCCAGAAAGTGTTTACGATGATATTCTTAACAGGTATAAAAAACTGTAAATAACAATAATTTTTTTTATATGACTTTGCTATAATGATACTACTGGTAAAATTCTTTTTTTCGGCACTGAAGAAAATCTTTTAATACTGTCAAAATGTAAATATTTAAAAGAACATTTAATATTGCACTTACAGACTTTAAAAGTTATTGTTATATAATAAAGCGTGCTAACGTTTTATGTTTGTATATTATATATATTAATGAAGCATAGAACAACACTAGATTGTAATAATATAATTTTAATATAAAAAAAGTTAATTAATTAATGTAAATCTGAATATATTATTATTGATTTTAAAATAGTGGTTATTTCAACATTTAAAGATGCCTTTTTTACTAATAAAATAAATGATTTGCATTTCACTTTGGTTATGCTGTACGGCTAAATTTGATTAATTTGGTTTAAATCGAGAAATAAAAAAAATTAATTTATTTTTTAAATATTTTTATCACCTGCCTTTATTCTATGTAATCACATTAAACTTGAATTTAATAAGGTTGTAACTCGGATTATTAACGAAAATAAATTTGAAAAACTTAAATTGTTTATTAATTATTTTGAGAAATTTATATAAGAGTTGATGACTTTGATTACTGTAATCTTAAAAAATATTGTTTTATTTGAACTTTTAAATGTTTATGACAGAATTTTAGAATGTATTCCAAGAACAACAAACTTGTTAGAAGGATGGAATAGAAATATCAAAAAGGTAGTAAGAGTTTCCTGCCCAAATATTGTAAATTAAATAATAGTATTACAAAAAGAACAAGTGATTACGAAAAAATAATGTTATAAAAAATAAAGATATTGAAATTATTTTAATTAATAAAAAAGAACATAACTTGCTTACCATTTGTAAGAACTATGATGGATATAAAGAATTGTTGCTTATAAAAAAAATTACTAGAATTTATAAATGAAAATTGCCCTATGCTAAAGGAATAAACTTAATTTAAAAATATTTGATAAATAACAGCAATTGAATGTTTCAAAAGTTTCTTTTAAATATAAATATAATTTATATTATTGTAATAAATTGTTGTCTTATATGTTTACACAGTTATTTGTTTTAGGGGAGAAAAAAACTTTTGCTAAAAACAAGCAAAATTTCATTTTTAACAAAAGCAAGAAATGTTGCTTTGTAAATTTCTGATTTAGTTTTTAACTTTAAGCAGGAACGTTATTAAAAAGTATATTGTTAATGTACAAAGTATTCATTATGTGTATATAAATTTAAGGTAAAATGTTAAAATATGTTTATCATTCTCTAAAACCAGGGATCCCTCATAAAATTTAATAATTGACTGTTCTGCATGTCTTTTTAGCGTATTGTTCATTTTATAAAAAATTTCAATCTGTCCATGTTTTTATTGAAACCCTGTTTATGCTAAAAATTATAAAAGAAAAAATAAATAGCATAAATAGACTTATGGAACAAGTAGAATCTACTAAAAAACCGTCAATTATAGAATTACTAAAAAAAGAGATCGAAAAACTTAGAGAATTAAATAATGAATATAAAAATATATTAGATTCTAAAAAAGTTGTACATAAAGAAATTGAAAAAAAGAAAATAAGGTATTATCTTCAAGATGGATCTACATATGTAATACGAGACAAATATAGATATCTTTATGATGCAAAATCAAAAGTCATTACTTATGAATTTGATAATGGGCAAATAGAAAGATCTTATCCTAGTGGCATAAAAGAAATTAGGTACGGTGATGGATCGATTATAATTAAAAATGATAATAAAGATTATGATAAACTTGATGATACAAAATCTAAATTTATCAGCTTGTAATTCGTTATAAATAAAATATTATTTATTAATCAAATTTTGTAAATCCTGAAGAAAAAAAATCGTTACCAAAGGCTATTATTGATACTAAACCTTCCTCACCACCAGAACAATACATTGTATTTTTATGATGTACATCTACGCAATTTATTGTTCCGTAATGTGAGGTGTAATATCCTATTTGTTCAGTAGTTATGACATCAAAAAACTTTGTATCAAATTTATTTTTTCCTTTGTTTAATGTGACATCTCTTGCGTTAATTCCTCCCGCACAAATTACTTTATCATTTGAATTAAAAATAACTGAGCAATTTACTGGTTCTTCACATACAAATGTTTTCAAAACATTCAAATCTGATATATCTACTATTTTAGCTTGAGAATCAACCGAAGAAGTAATAAAAAATGTACGACATGCACTTGGTCTAATTTTTGTAATTTTACTAGTATGTACATTATTACTAGCTAAAATCTTATTGTTTCTTATATCAAACTTATTTATTGAACCATCATCATTGGAAATAATTACAATATTTTGTGTATAATCTATTAGAACACCTGTAAGATTGGTTTCTAAGCTATAAAGTTTATTCATTTCTTTAGATCTACAATCGTACAAAATTATGCACTTGTCTTTGCCCATTGAGCCATCGCATCCAATAATAAAAAGATCTTTATTTGTAAAATTGTCTGTACTTTTAACTACGCTCTTTACAAATTTTTGTTCTATATATTGCCCTGTTTCTATGTCCCACTGAATAATTGTTTGATCTGCACTGCCTGTTAAAAGATGTTGTGATGTATCATTGAGTGAAAATGAAAAAATTGAACCATCATGCTTTGAATATGAGCCAAGGGGAGTACCATCATTGTAAATTACCGAACATGTGGAGTCTTTGGAAGATACAAAAATCAAATCTCCATCCTTATTAAATTTTAAATCTGTAATAGGTCTTTCATGGCATTTTACATTTATATGAAATCCACTTGTTGTTTCTACCGACATTTAACCCCCAAAACTTACTCAGAAATTATAAATAAAATTCAAATTTTTGTTAACAAAAGTAAAAAATATTTTATAAATAAAATACTATTTTATAATTTTTTAGTACCTTATAGATTTAAAAAATAGGATGTATGATACTAATTATAAAAAAATTAAGTTTTTTATGTATTTCTATAGTATAAAATATGTTAATATTGTATTTAACCACAGTTATATTATACATCAACAAACTGTGTAATGCTTTTTTTTGCAATTGATATAGCGTATATATAAATCAAAGAAACTATGAAAATTGCATTTTTTTTAACTTATAAATTTCAGTTTTCACATTTCTTTTAAAAAATAATTTCTAAATTATTTATAAATATTAATAACTTAGATGTTTAAAATAGTGAATTATTATTTAATCAACAAATATAACAAATAACTCTTCTTTTTATTTAAGGTATCTATATCTTTCAATACCTTGATCCATCAGTAATTCTATTTTTTCGTCATATATAAGCGTATTTAATAAAATTTTAAGTTCTTCATCTTTAACTTTACTATTTAAAAAATTAAGCGTATTAATAAATTCCGTTATTTCTGAAAGTGATGGATTATTCGAATATTTATTAATCGCATTTTCGTTATCAATAAATGTTTTCTGTTTAATATAATTACACACAATTTTACCAACATTTTTTACGCATTCGACATCGACTTCGTTATCGTTAAACCAAAATCCACCAGTAATTGCATCAGATGGAATAATATCATATAAAACATATACTTTACGATTATTCTTAATATTTTTTATACTTTTTATAACTCGCCTATTTTCCATACTGCTAAGTATTTTTAAGATTAGATTTTGTGGCATATTGGTTTTTTCTCTAATTTCTTTAATCCACATTCCTTCGGTACCACTTTGTGCGATTAAATTTATAATAAGCGTCTCATAATCGTCAGATGCATTAACCACCGCCTTATAAAAAATCGTATTACCGTTTTTGTATACAGTTATATTATTAGATTTTATTAGTCCATTAAGGTATTTCACCAACGATTCTTTAGTTAATGTAGGGTTCATAATCCTAATCTGTTCTTCATTAACACCCTGCTCGTAAGTTTTTATAAAATTTAGCAGATTCTCCATATGGGCTTAAAATTTCACCCCATGTCTTATTTCGTGGTATTCAATAAAAGAGGAAACGTTTTGTACGAAGAAGGTGTTGAACCATCTTTTGTTAAAAATTTTGTTTTGTCAATCGACCCAAATATATTAGTAGGATCTAAAATTGTTAGAGATGATAAAATTGAGTATGAAATAAGAGGACCACTTGTTTATCTAAGTGTTGGACACAAACAAGGCCTTCACGAGCTTATTGAACGACAAAAAGAACCAGAAAAAGAAGAAAAAAAGAAAGTTGTGTCTCAAGAAGAAAAATTAAATTATTCAGATGTATCGGTGATAAGGCGAAATTTTATTAATATTACAACAAAAAAAGCATTTAAAAAGGGGTTTAGTTTATTTTCTAATAAAATACATGTTGATGAACTTAAAACGAAAATGGAATTACATCTCGTTAAAAAGAATGTTGATTATAATACAACAAAAATTTTAACAGAATGCGTTATTAATCAACTGAAAGAAGAAAATGTAGAATATGTGTCACCTGATTCATTTAAAAAGTATGTATCGACTGTTTTACAGAAATTAATACCATCAGTAGATCATAAAAAATTACTGAAAGATATTAAAAATAAAAAAGAAGCTTTTTCTATTTGTTTTGTTGGTGTAAATGGTGTAGGAAAAAGTACTTCACTGGCTAAAATTTGTTATTGGTTGTTAGAAAATGATCTTAAGGTTTATATCGCTGCATGTGATACATTTAGAGCGGGTGCCGTTGAACAACTCAAAGTGCACGTCGATCGATTTCGTCAAAGTGGATATAGTGTTGGATTTTACGAGAAAGGTTACGGTAAAGATGATGCATCAGTAGCAAGGACAGCAATTCAAATTGCTACATCAGAAAAATATGACGTGATTTTGATTGATACAGCGGGTAGAATGCACAATAAATTATCGTTAATGGAGAGTTTATCGAAGCTTATAAAAATAAATGAACCCGATTTTATAGTTTATGTTGGAGAAGCTTTAGTAGGCGTGGATAGTTTAGATCATATTAAAGAATTTAATAAATTTATTAGTAAAGGCAGTATTCATAGAAAGATTGATAGTTTACTACTCACTAAAGTAGATACTGTGGATGATAAAATAGGACAAATATTGAATATGACATTTACTAGTCACGCTCCAGTATTTTTTTTAGGTACAGGGCAAGCTAATAGCGATTTATCAGAAATTACATCTGGTGATATTGTAAACAGTCTTTTATCTTAATTAAACTACTTAATATGATATAAAACAAATATTAAAATTGAATGTAAAAAATATCTTTATTTTTTAATTATTAAAAGCTACAAAATCTTCAAAAAATTTATGATTTAAAGCTTGCTGTGCACTAATTCTTATTATTGGATCATAAATAAACATATTTTCGAGAAGATTAATTAAATCTTCATCGATAGTTAAAATTTCTCCAAGTGGAATCGCTTTGTACTTTGGAAATGAAGCCTGATAGTTAGGAAGTGATTCTACATTTTTCCAGTTAACATTTGAAGGCGTGCCTAGAATTTTAAAAATTTTTAAAAGTTGCTCGATCTCAGAATCTCCAGAAAACAATGGTCTTAACAATATCATTTCAGCAATAATACATGCAGCGCTCCATACATCAACAGATGAATCATAATGCTTGCTTCCTAGAAGTAAATCAGGCGGCCTATACCAAAGTGTAACGACTTCAGTAGTGTAAGTACGAAGAGGTATACTCGCTAATCGCGCCAATCCAAAATCAGCAAGCTTTAGATTTCCATAAGTGTCTATTAGAAGATTTTGAGGTTTTAAATCTCGATGAAAAATATTTTTTGAATGACAAAAATGTATAGCAGTTATCAGTTGATAAACCATTTTTTTTAAAATATTCAAATCCATTAATTTTTCTTCTCTATACAAATTATCGAGATACTGTCTTAAATCCATATCTATGTATTCAAATACTAAATACATTTTATTGATATTGTATATTACATCGTCTAAACTAACAATAGTAGGATGTTTTAGATTTTTAAGCAGAAGAATTTCTCTTATGGTTGTTGGCGGAATACCTTCAGATTCGTTTTCTAATCTTATTTTTTTCAAGGCTACTATTTTTCCCGTTTTTCTCTCCTTCGCTTTGTACACTACTCCGTAGGTGCCTTCACCTATTTTTTCTATTTTTTGAAATGAATCAGACATGGGGATACAAATAAAAGACATTAAAAAATAATAAATATATTTATTCTTCTATTGTATTAAGAAAATCTTCTTCTGTTTCTTTTTCTAATATTGCTTTTACAAAGTTCATTTGTTCATTGTATATTTTATAAAGAAAATCTTTACCATCCTTTGTGAAATTAAGATTATGTTTTTTTATCATTTTTTCAAAAATTGGATCCATTAAAATGGGATGTTTAAACGGTAAATCATAAAATGTTTTAGGACAGTAAAGTTGTAGACATGTCAATCAGCAGTTTTGGATTGATGATTTTAATATATCTGTTGTATAAATAATAATTATTTAATAAATTTTTGTATATCCCAACAATGTAAATTAATGCTTTAAATTTAAAAGTAAGTTTCATTTGACAAGAAAGATTAAAGAAGCTTAGTTTATGATAAGTAGTATAAATCTCTATGAGAAGATATACGGCTATGAACAGAATAATTGTTAATATATAAAATTTACTGAGTTTTTGTTTACAAGCAGTAGACATATTAATATTTAAAAATAACTTAAATTGTAAAAAAATAATAATAAATAAAAATCATAAGCAAAAAGTAAATTTATTCATTAACAGCAGTAGAATAACCCACATCCTTTATCTATAGATTGACTTTCTTTAAGCTTATATATATATTTACCAGCCTCATCAAATATTTCTGTAACATTCTTGCCAGTCATCGCAGAGCACTCCATAAACTTAAGAGCCCTTATATTCTCAGCCAACTCTAAGCCTTCTTTCTCGGTTACGAAATTCGATTTATCTAATGTTGGATCATTATCTTCTCTTAAATCACATTTTAAAGCTACAAGGAAGTAACCAGCCCGTGGACAATAATTTTTAATTTCCATCAACCATTTTCTATTTATGTTATTAAGCTTATTTTTATTTTCAATTGTATAGCATATTAATACTAAATCTGTCTCTCTGTATGATAGTGGTCTAATTGTATCATAATCTTCTTGACCTGCTGTATCCCAAAGTGCTAAATTTACCACCCTTTGGTCATTTCCTTCTTCTATAATTACATCTTTAGCAAAGTTATCTACTACAGTAGGAACATAAGAGGCAGGAAATTGGTTCCTTCTAAAAACTTCCAGTAAGCACGTTTTACCACATGCACCATCCCCTACTACTACAACTTTACCAGATTTTTTCTCTGTTGCATTTGCCATATTTTATGCGCATATAATTTTTTAAATATTTTTAAAGGAGAAATCTCAAAATAGAAACAATAATTTACCAATTACCTTATTGGTCAATAATAATTAATTAATTTACAAATTATAGGTTATTATGCTAATTAGTGTTAAAGAAAATGATAGAAATGTAATCAATAAAGTTAAAATTAATACTTTATATTTTATTGTTTGTCAAGTAATTTTAAGATGCATTAATTTTTAGTGTTACAAATTTATTATTGTTTTTAATTAAAAATATAAACGTGGTGTTGTTCGTTGTTATGATTTTTTATAAAAACACATAAATATACTTACTTAGCTTAAAAAATATATTTGTTGTAATAACAACCCAATTTGTTATTAAGCTATAAACATTATTAATATATTTAATTTATTATGTTTGGTGTTTTAAAATTTTTGTATTTATAACTATTTCTTTAAAATATAAAAGTGTTATTTTACAGTTAAAACATTTTTATTTATAAATCGTACAATAGCAATTCATCTAATATAAATATTAATTCTAAATACTAATACTTAATCAATAAAAATATAATTTTATTAAAAACTAGCTTGCGCTATCTTGTTTTAAACGGGATCACAAATATAATGAATTCTTTTTCTTTCTAAGGAATATATGATGTACATTAATGTATGTACTTATTTTATTATTTTTAATTACAAATTGCCCTTTTTATTTATTAAAAATTAAAATTTGCTATAGACACCTTGTATAAGATTGATATAACTAAATTAAAGCAAAAGAAAATGCACAAAAACGCCGTTTTGTGCTTAGAGAAATAAACCCCAAAATGATGCTACTTGTTCTTTACAAAAAGTACAAAGAATTTTAAAAATTTTTAAAAAAAAAGGGATGAAAAAATAAAAAAATGTTGCAATTCAAACTTTTTATATATATTGATGACTAGCTTGCGTTATTCCGTTTAAAACGAAATTATTATATATAAATAAAATTCTTATTTTTCATTGTGTAACGTGTCTTTAGACTTTTGCGCATTGTTTAAAGTACAAAATATCTTACATTGTAAAGTAAAATTTGCAATAGATACCATTTTGCAATTACAAAAAATTGAAAAAAAAATAAAGAAAAATACACAAAACGTAATATCCTTTTAGTAACAATTATATACGAATCCTAGGTTGTATTTTAATGCTTTTAAATGATTATAAAACAGAATTTCACAATTTTTAAAAAAGAAGGGTTAGAAAATAAATAAATGTTTAAATTCAAACTTTTTATATATATTAATTTAAAGATTATTTTGAAACCTTCCAAAATCAATTGTATTTTACTAATTATTTATTTTTTATTTATAAATTAGTACCGCACTTTTAAGTTAAAAATTGTAAAGTAATTAATAGAGATAAATAACTATGTTAGAAGTATATTAAGTTATACTTATAACTTTGTTAATTAAAATATATCTTTTATATTTTTTTACCCCAATATGAATGTTTCTGGTCTTGATGATGTAAAAATGGAAGTACAAAAATTAAGGGAAAGATATGGCATGTATACGGTATTTCATATTCCAAATTTAGATCCTGTTACCTACAAGGTAGTTAAAAAAGATGGTAAAGATATGAAAAGTGAACTTAAAACAAATTATGATGAACGGACCCTAAGAAAGATTTTTTTAAAATGTGTAGAAGATGTAAGAGAAGATTTTCCATGTTATATTGTTTATGACTTTGTTTTTTATGATAAAGATTTATGGAGAAACACTTTTTGTTTTATTTCTTACATTCCTGACACATTAAATATTAAGAAAAAAGTAGTATATAGTACGAACGCATTAAGATTAATAGAAGCACTAGACATTCCATTACATATATCATTTACAAAAATGGATGAACTTACATATGATGAAGTTAAAGAGAGATGCTCAAAATTTAGAAGTAAATAAAATAATTAATGTTTTATGCAATTAAAAAAATTTATTGAATTTTATATAAAACGTGGTAGCTTAACAGGTATAAACAATTTAGTATTAAATCAGCAATAGCAGTATAAATATATTAAATTTTTAAAAACTTTACTTTTTGGCATGACAGAATCATAACCTTTTTAATAAACATGTTATATTAAATTTTAAAGGTTAAAATTTTTTAAATACACAAAATTCATAAAGACTGATTACTTCTATTTCTTCTTTGCGTAATTCTCCACATTTCATCCGTTTAGCCAATTCTCTATTTTCAGCAATCGAACGAAAATAAAAGTCATCAAAAAATTCTCTTCTTACCATTTTTATATTGTAAAATTCTAACAGTTCTTTTAACAATTTCATATCGACAAAATATTCAATGCAGTCATTGACACAATCTTTCAAAGTGAAATAATAAAAATTTCCTGTTCCATCGTATCTAATTTTATAAAATTCGTTTTTTAAAATCCCTTTATTATATCTGTACAATATCTCATCTTTATTTGGTACAGTAAAAATAAAATATCCTCCAATTCTTAAATGTTTATTGATATTCCGCACGGTAATTTCAAGAGACTTTTGTGACGAAAAAGCGTAGTGCAGGCTAAACTGGCATGAAATTAAATCAAATTCTTTTTTTAAGTCAAATGGTGTATTGTAAACATCTAAATTATCAAAATAGGCCCTAAAAGTGTTTTCTGAATCATTATGCCGCTTTCTTGCATCGTAAACTGATACTTCCGCAATATCAAGACCGTAATATTCAGATATTTTTGCATTATCAAACTTCTTAAGATCTCCACCTTTTCCGCATCCTAAATCTAGAACCAGCATCTTTTGTTTAGCGTACATTCTAATAAAAATGGCTTTTATAAAATTATTAGCATATCGAATATTTGCCACTGCAGATTTGTGTCTATCTTGTTTGTTCTTTACTAATTTATTGTAATGCTCTTTTATATTCATAAAGGGATATAATAAACTAAAAATTTTTATATTATTTTTTATTGTGTCTTTTAAATACTCCTGCAGCTTTAAGTTTTTCTTTGTTTTCCATCTTCTTTTTTTTCTTATGTTCCTTTAACATTTTAATGTGCTTAAAATTCAGAGTCGTCTTTTTAGTCTCAGCACCCAAAAATACTACTTTTCTTTTTAGTAAATTTATTTTTTCTCTTGGTGATCTGTTATCCTCAATGTATTTTTTTATATCTTTCATACATTCATCTAATTCTTTCCTCGACATGGATTAAAAAATTATACAATTTTTTTCTAAAAATTTACCCCTATGAATGGCCTATACGCTGCAAATGATTTAATAAAATCACGAAAAATTAAAAGAAGATCTGATCCATATTACAGAAAGAGGATCTTGGGTACTAAATATAAGCATTCGAAGATTGGTACAGGACCACAAGCAAAGGGAATAGTTTTGGAGAAGACAGGTGTTGAGGCAAAACAGCCAAATTCAGCTATTAGAAAAATTGTTAAAATTCAGCTTATAAAAACAGGAAAAAAAATTTCTGCATTTGTTCCTTATGATGGTTCTTTAAATTACATTGAACATAACGATGAAGTGGTGGTAGAAGGTTTTGGTAAGAAGGGTAAGTCATGCGGAGATATTCCCGGAATTTCTTATAAAGTAGTGAAAGTGCAGAATGTGTCATTAATGGCTCTTTATAAAGGTAAAAAAGAAAAACCAAGTCGTTAATAAATTATTTATTAAAAGTTTTTTAGTTTGTTCTTTATCACCCCTATGCCAGAGGTTACAATTATTATTTATGATAATGGACTGCCTTCTCAAAATCAGGATTATTTACCAAGTAGAAGTATTTTACAGAAAGAATTTATTCAGTCATTCATTAATAAAAGGTTTGAAGCAGATTCAGAATCTATGGTTGGTATTGTACCTGTTTGTCAAGAGCAATACAATGATATGATTACACCAACAAAACAAAAAGATTATTTGTATACTTTTTTAAACACATGTGGATTGTACAGAAATCCCGATTATGTTAGATCTCTTTCTCAAAGTATTAGCTCATTTATGCAGCAAGAAATAACAACGAAAAAATTAATTTTTTTCATAGGCACAAAAATTGATAAATCTTTGGAAGAGGACGTGTACAGTAAAATTTTTGAAATTCTTACACATGGAATTGCAATAACAATAGTGTGTTTTGGTGAAGGTCTTGTTTATTATGATATTTTAAGTAAGGAGATAGAATATTATAATTTTAAAGTGGTGCGTGTTTTACCTCAAGATGACTACAATAACATTTATAACATTGTTACTGAAAATGAAGAAGAAGATGATCCTGAACTTGCAGAAGCTATAAGACAATCACTGGAAGAATCAAAAAAGCAACAATAAAAAATTAGTACTATTTTTTTATCCTTTTATGGAAACACCGTATTTTTCTAATTTAAACTTTGAATTTCCAGATCCAGACAATGTAACAATGGATACTGAACGCAAAATTAAGACATATTTAAAAAAGCATTCTATAAATTTTCCAGTAGAAAAAGATATAGAGCGATATTCCGATAGATATAACGAATCAATTTTTACAGATTTAGAAAAAATTAAAAGTTATTTATATCCCGAAATTATGTCGCCAGAAATCTGCGACTTCTTCCAGTTTAATTTACAATCTGAAGTTGACGAGGTTGATAAGGAGAATATTTCTGACTTAGAATGGGATGATGAAAATGAATGTGAAACAATAAATAGTTCTGAAGATGGAGATTATAAAATCACAGGTGAAGATGATGAAGACTCAAAATCAAGTGAACAAGACAATGGAGATGTTATTTAATTAAATTATTTTATGTTTTATTTATTACGTTATTTATTTTTTACCCGTTCTTATGAATTTTGAAGATCAAAAAATTGACAAACAAATAGTTAAAATATTAAAAGATAATAATATCATTTATATGACACCTATACAACATAAAACAGTACCTTTAATATTAAATGGCCATGATATTTTAGGAATTTCTAGTACCGGTACCGGTAAAACATTTTCGTTTTTAGTACCTATTTTACACAATTTATTAAATACAAATAAATCTTTTTACTGCTTAATAATTACTCCTACACGAGAATTGGCACTACAAATTGATAAAACTGTTAAGTTATTTAAATCACTGGGTGTTAAAAGCCTAGCACTTATTGGCGGGGAAAAAATTGAAGATCAACTTAATCAACTAAAAACGCATCCGCACATTGTCATTGGTACGCCAGGCCGATTACATAAAATTGGTAAAAATTTAAAAATTAATAGATTTCGAGTACTTGTATTGGATGAAGCAGATAAATATTTTGAAGATGATTTTATTGAAGAAATGGCTTTTATATTAGAAAATTTAAGAAAAAAAAGACAGACATTATTGTTTACAGCTACAATTACAAATAATTTAAAACAGAAGAGTTTGGAAATTCTTAAGAATTTTAAAGAAATTGATTTATCAACTAATGTTAAAGTTGAGAAACTAGACGAATTTTATTTTTTTGTAGCAAGAAAGTATAAAGAATGTTTTTTGTATTCACTGCTCAAAAACAAGCAAGATCTAAAAATAATAATTTTTGTAAATATGAAAATTACAACTTTGATACTTTCATCATTAATGAAGTCTTTTGGTATTGATGTAGAGACGCTTAACGGTGATCAAGACCAGCAAGCACGTATAGAGATTATAGATGGATTTATAAAAAATAAATATAATGTACTAATTACTACAGATGTGGGAAGTAGAGGACTTGATGTATGCGATGTAGATTTCGTTATAAATTACGATTTACCGCAGAATAATAAAGATTATGTGCACCGAGTAGGACGAACAGCTCGTGCGGGAAAGAAAGGCGTGGCGCTAACTTTAGTTACCCAGTATGATGTATCAATTTTTCAAAAAATCGAATATTTCCTAAATAGGAAACTTAATTTATTTACTTTTAATGAAAATTATCATCAATTTGAAGAAATTATTGATACAAAATTGCTTAAAGTTAAGGAAGAAGTTAAATTAAATAAAACTGAGAAAAAAAAATTTAGACCAAAAAAGTATAAAAAAAATTAAATTAATTTCATTTTTGTTTCTTTGCTGTCTAAAGTTATATCCCAATTATAATTTTCTCCAATATTTAAAATTTTAGTTGGTCCAATATCCCTAAAAAATGGTTCAAATTTCTGTGATCGAATGAAATAATAATCAGGTGCACACAACATGTTCAAGTTTTCCACATTATAACAAACATTTTTTACATTTAACATTGGCAAAAAGGACCTTTGAAAAATAAGATGGTAACACAATCTTTCAAGTTTATCTTTTGAAAAAAGTAAATCTCCACAAATATCATTTTTTGAACTACCTTCATTTTTACAAATTTCTTTATCACATAAAAGATCTAGGACTTGAAGTGTATTAACACAAAAAAGCTTATCTTCTAATTTAAATTGACATGGATTATTTAATGAAATATGTATTTGCCCGTCAATTGTTCTAGAATTCATTGGATAAACTTCTACACACTCAAAATCTTCCATTGTAGGCACATGTATAAAATGTGTAAGGCGTGACTTACTAGATATAATATCTTCTGGTACTTTACAACCAATAAAAATTACAACATCTGCATCATAATCTATTTTTTCATTAATATTTTGTATTACTTTAATCTTACACTTCAAGTCTTTATTGGAATCTCCGTGATCTAAAATCGGTAAGCAATGTATTTCTGAGACTAAAAATTCATTATCTCCTAAATTTTTACCTTTTAAAACTACAAGCTGTCCATGAAAAAGTGAAAATCGTTTACAATAATTTAGATTTAGTTTTATTGGAGTGTCGTTACTTTCATTATCGTTATTATAAATATATATATCTTTTTCAGGAGTTATAAAAATTACGCCATATGTAAAATAAGAACTCTCTGACTGAAATGTGACTGGCTTAAATTCTTTATTAAGAATCTCTAAGAAATATTTTTTATTTTCTTGTATTCTTGATTTAATGTATAAATATCTGTCCATTTTTTTTATATAAAAGTACTGATTCTTTTTTGGTCTTTCATAAGTTATTTTTAGTGGTGTTTTCTTTTTCAATGAATTAAGAAAATCTTCACCTGAGCGCATAACGGTAAATAAATACAGTTTAGTGAAGTAGTAAAAAAAGGCCTATGCTGAAGTTGAATGAAAGAAATTGATTATTGTAAATTTTTCTTTATATTATTTAGTTCAAAACTATTATATAATACCTTATAGGTTTTAATCCAAAATGTTTATAACGTAAGGGTAAAAGTATGCAATAACTTACAAGATTTTTTTAATGTGCTATAATTACAATTGTTTTATTTCTAATTTCTATAAATTGAATATAAATTTATTCACCTATTTGTTAAATTACAATAAATTTTAAAATTGCATAAAGTAGATAAATCTAATATAAGAATCAAAGAAAATAAAAGTTAATGAAAGGAATATAACTTAAGAAATAATTAACTTTTGTTTATTAACCCCCAATGAAAAATATAATAAGGCGTTTTAAGAACATGTCAGATCAAGAATTGAAATCTTCTCTTGACTTAATTTATCCATCAAAAACTATTAATAAGCAAATTTTAGAAGAATTGGAGGAAAGACATATCCGTAATGACTCAAAAATTTTAAAATATCTTTTAGAGCTCAAGAAAATGAGATTTGAGGAATGGTCTGTAGATCGACTCCTTCTTATATTATTTGACACCGATCATCCTTCAAATCAGATTAAAACACCTTTGTACGTAATAGAAAATATTAATGCAAAAAAACCAGTAAAATTTAAAAATATTTTAAAATGCATAAAACAAAAAAAACTGTCTGATGACTTTTTAAATTTCGTATATATTCTCGAGCATATAATTTTCGCCTTAAATATGAGTAATCAACAAATGAAACATAAAGTAATATTAGATTATACTGATTTTATATTAAACTTTATTGATTTAGTTTCTAAAATTAAAGGTAAAGAAAAAATATCTGAAATTACAAATTTAACAGATGGTAAATTTTACTACAAAGAAACGTGGCTTTTTGCTTTAAGAAATAAGCTAGTCACGGATCAAATATTATTTTTAATTATGTATAATATTAAAGATATGAAAGAACATAAAGTACAGATTATAAGAAATGATTTACAAAGATGGATATTTACATTTACAAATGACAATTATATAGATTATAGAAATGTTCTAAATATAGTTTCTAACTTAGAGGCTAGATATTTAAATAATGCTGAATTGGCAGAAAATATTATTTTAGAAAATTCTGAATCTAAAAATATCCCCAAAATGTTTACCTTTTCTGTATTGCCTGCTGAAAAAACTACAGAAGATAAATCTTTAGAATGGTATAAAGGTAGAAATGATAAACGTAAATTGTAAATTTTTTATATTTGTAATTTAGACAGTAAGATTATTAAAAATATTAAATAAAAATAGTGTGAATCGTCTATTACAAAAAAAATAAAGCAAGATGAATTATTATGTTTTAAATGTGAATTTAAAATGATATTGCGATTGATATTTAATAACTATAAATCACATTTATTTGTTTTATCTGAGGATTTATTAAATTATGAGCTTAATGTTATAATCATTAAGATTTTTTATAATAGATATTAATTTTTTCAGTCAATTCTATAGAAGAGTGTAAAGAGTTGGCTAGTTTTTTTTCATATGTTTATTAATATTGTTCAGCTTAAAAACTAAAATCACAAAATTTTTATTAAAAATGCTAAATGGAAATTTATCTCTTTTAATTAGTTTACTTTTATAAAAAACTTATGAAAGTTTTATAAGCAAAAATATTGTATAAGACAAAATTTTATAAAAATAAATAGAAAATTTAATTAGATAGCACCAGATTGGCCAGCAATCTTTATAGCATCCCCATCATTTTTAAACTTAGCGTAGGCCTTCTTTCTGCCCTTAAAGTCAATAAGTGTATTAACTTTTATACAAGGACATCCATATAACTTAGTAATAGCATTTCTAATCTGTCTCTTGTTGTATTTTTTATCAACTATTAATACAAGAGTATTAAACATTTCTACATTCCTCATTGCTTTTTCTGATGTATGTATATTTTTTATAATATCCTGTGGTACTATATCCGGTTTAGGAATCACTCTTTTTCTTTCTTTTTTTACAGACTCCATTTTATGGGTAAAAAATAAAATTTTAAATTTTGCATAACAAGTGTAAACCTTGAAGTGTAGATATTTAAATTTTCGTTGTTTTTATTACTAAACAACATAACTGTACCTAAAATAACGTTATAAATGTGTCAAATGTATCATACTTGAGTAACAAAAATTTGTTTAATAACTGATGCTCCATTCCAGTATATTATAGTTAATCTTTACTTTTAGTTTATAATAGTGTTATCAATCCGTACAACGCTTTTTTATAAAAAAAATTATAAATTTTAAAAATTATAAACGTGCCTTTCTGTCCTAATAAAAATGTTATATGAAAAATAAATGCAATTAAATGTCTGCTTTAGTGTTAATTTTAATTTTTAATATTTAGCCCCTCTAAATGAAAGAATACTCTACACAAACTATTGGTGAAAAGTACTCTAAAGATTACACTGTTTACATCACTCATAACAATAAAAGAATATCTCCATTCCATTATATTGATATCCATCAACATCCATCAGAGGATGTTGTTACAATTGTAAATGAAATACCTAGATTTGAAAATGGTAAATTTGAAATAAACAAAGGAGTAAGTTTAAATCCAATAAAACAAGATATTAAAAAAGGAAAAGTAAGATTTGTTAAAAATATTTTCCCTTTTAATGGATATATGTGGAACTACGGTGCCATACCACAAACATGGGAAGACAAGGACGTTGAATGTGGGTACACATTTCAGAAAGGAGACAACGATCCTTTAGATGTTTTAGACATCAGTTCAATAAGAAAAGAAATAGGAGAAGTTTATCAAGGTAAAATATTAGGATGCTTGGCTATGGTTGATGATGGTGAATGTGATTGGAAAATAATGGTAATAGATATTAAAGATCCTCTTTCAGAAAAAATTAACACAAAAAAAGACATTGAAGAGTATTTTCCCAAATATATTGAAAATACGATATATTGGCTTAAAAATTACAAAGTGCCTGATGGAAAACCAGAAAATGAATTTGGACTACATGGGGACTTTATGGATAAATATTTTGCACTGGAAGTAATAAATAGTGCACATGATTTTTGGAAAGAGCTTATGGATAAAAAACATGTACCTGAAATTAAATACGAAGTGGAAGACGAAAACGAAATTGAGACTGACAAAAAAGTTACAAAACCTTTTGATTTTACGGAAGGCTACTATTTTTTAAAAAAATAAATATTTTTTATTAAATTATAGATGTATTATAATATTTAATAGAAAGTGTTATTGCATCCAATCAGGTCTAAAATGTTTTTGTGAATTCATATTCATGCTTATTTTAAGTTTATTTTTTTCTTCATAATTTTTATCTTTAAAATGTTCTTTTTTAGGCGTAAAATTTATTATTTGATGATTTCGATTAGAAAACTGTACAATTTGCCCACCTTCTACACTTCTATTTCTATTAAAAATTACTTTACCATTTTCTAATACTAAATTACTTCCTATAATAAAGGCAGTACGATGGTTATCAGTCTCAAGATGCTCTTTAAGACCCGATTTAGTTGTAAATCCTTCATTACATACATAACACGTCTTATTAAGAAGATACTGTGCTTCTAATTCTTTAAAATCATGTTCTAAATAGTGTTCAAATGTTTCTTCTTTTTCACAAAATAAACAAATTTCTAAAGCTTTCCGTAATTTATTTTTTTTTTCAGATTTCTTTTTACTTACTTTATGTTGTTCAACATTGTTAACACCAATATCTAAAGAAATATCAGAACTAGTGCCTTCTAGTTCGAATTCATGCAGACTAATTGGTGGAATATGATACATTTGTCTCTGCACATTAAGTTTATGTAAATCTGATTTATAATGCTCTTTTTTATTTTCAACTATATCTAATTGACAAGCAGTACATTTCATATGGGCAAAGAATAAATTTATTATGAATTTGTTTGCATAGGTTAAAAAATGAATAGAAAAATTTTATGAAAAAATAATCATTAATACGCATAAAAATTTAATCTGAATTTTTATTTATTGTTAAACCTTTCTTTATTAGAAATTTAGTAAAATTCTTTTAAATTTTATCAAGAAAAAGTAACAATATTGTAAAGTTTACTATTTTATACATAATACAATTTTTTTGTGGAGTTTTCTTATTTATTCAATTATTCAAAATGTAATATATGTGCTATTGCAAATTTAAATTTATAAATAAAAAAAAGTAATTTTTAAATTAAAACAGTGCATACACAACACTTAAAGACATAGCTTACAATTGCCATAGGACAAAGCATACATCATAATTTAGTCTCGTTTTAAATAGGATAGCGTAGGCTATACATCAATATATATAAAGTTTGAATCCAAATATCAATTTTTTTACGCTTCTTTTTTTTAAAATTTGCTTTTTTTCATTTTTTTTAAAAGTGGTAATATTTTTGCAAATTTTATTATTTTATGCACAAGACATTTTTAAAGGCTGTAATTAAATTTTTTAAGCGTGAGAGGGTGTCATACAAAATTCTATTCAATATTAAAAAAAGTACAATTTTTAAATTTATAACAATTAAGCACATTTTAAGAATAAAAAATACATCTAAAAAAGAGAAAGCATATAAAAAATAAGGAACTTGTTTAAACAAGATATAGTAAGCTAGTCTTTTTGTAAAGGTACAAGCTTATGTCTTGTCCTGATGCCCGGGAGTATGGGTTCAAATTCCAGCAATGCGAATTCGCTAGATAATAACCTAGCGTTGACACAACAATTGTCACGAAATATTCGTTGGTAAAGTCGTATCGTAACCTTTTCAGTAGGCATCGACTAAGGATTGTAAATGTCCTTTAAGATGTAGATGAGGCATGACATCTTTGGGTCGGTACGACAATTGCCGTAGCTGTGAAAACATTTACAGGTCGTATTCGGAGACTTTTAATAAAAAATTACATTTGAAGGCCCGCCTGGGAAGGGCGTAGCAAGCTAATGAAGTTTTAGAATTTCTCGTGGAATGGTGAGAGTCCATCACGGTCATTAGAAGGACGCATGCCGCCTTATCCGACCACGAGACCTAGCAAACCCCGGTCTAGTAGCGCACTACCAGTTGTCGGATCTCGGTAGAATCCTTACAAGGATTAATACATCTTCCTACTAAGCGAGGCCCTTGTGGCATGCTAGCGCTGATAATGCCGCTGTGTTGAGATTGAGGAAAGGGGAGTTTTCTAATAGAAGAATTTAGCATAATAAAAAATGTAGCAAAAGGGTACAAAAGATTAGCTGAGAATTTAATAATTAAAAGATTTTGATGTATAATTAATTTAAAAAAATTGTAAGTGCTTAAATAAATCTGATGAACTGAAGTTTCTCTAAAAAGAATTAATCTATAAACAATTTAATATTATTATGGATACAAGTTAAATAAAAACAAATTAAATTAAAGAATAAACATAAGTGTGATATCTCGTATCACACAATTTGGCTATTTGATTTGTTCAAAAATTTTTTTAGCGTTCTGCAAGTGTAGCACGATTAATAACACAGTTTTTAAAGAAGCTGCTTCATTTAACAATTTAATAAGAAATTGACATCAAAAATATATGAACCTTAAAAATTTAATACTATTAACCATTTCTACCGATACCTCTACTAAAAATAAATCACAGTTTATAAATAATATTTTATTTACATTATTGAAGCGTATCTACGGGCGTGTTATGTTAATTAGACACCTTTTCATTCCACAGGGATAAAAATACATACTCAAAAGTAGAATATTAATGAGCATTTAAATTAATTATATATTTCTTTTCAAGTATTTTTTCCATTTCTTTGTCTTTAGGAAAAAGCTTTGTTAATTCAGGCAATTCGCTAAAAGCATCATTAGATTTTTCATTAAATCCACCAAACCTTTCATCAAAAACAATCTTGTAATTATCACTTGCATGTTTTAATAAATACTTAAAGTACAAACCGTAAAAATAATCAAGGTCTTCAAAACCACTTAAAAATTCACTCTTAAGCTTATTAACACACATCAAAACAGATTCAACTATATATATAGAACAACAAATTTCCTGTTGAATCTTTCAGAAGTTTCTTCTAATTGGTCCTTTACACAAGAATAATAATAATAAACATGATCAAAAAAACATAATAAATCTTTTTTTGGAATAAAAGCAATATATTTTAAAGAGTAAAGAGTTAAAATAAAATCTTCCTTATTAATAGATTTTAATTGTGAGTACTTTTCTACAAGATTATTGTAGAGAGAATGGACATTCACACATTCGATCATTTTTTCTTTTTCTTTAGAACTTTTAGCTAACGTTTTTGGCTTAGTGTTCCGCTTTTGCATTATCAGTACTAAGAATATTAAGACAAAAAGTAATACAAATATACAATAAGCAATATATCTTTTATAAAACATTTAAGGATAAATTTCATTAACCTTTTAAATCGATTTAAGAAACAGAAATTATTGTTTAAAATAATTACTGACAACAATACCATACATTCTAAGAAAAACAATTTATTGATAAATTTAATTAGCCTAGTTAATATAAATGACATATCAAATGATTTTATTGATTGATAAATGTCATAATTACCTAAAAACATTTGTTAAAATCAAAGATTTATATTATTATTTAACTATAAAAAATTAATGTCAGCCAAAAAAACGTGGTAACATTAATTGATAATTTTTTTACTATCCATGAAAAATTCTATGAAAATATGTTAAAGTTTTAATAAGACGTCTTTAATCGAAAAAGGTACCATGCAAAATTTTTATTTAGGTAAAAATAGCAATTTTTGAATTTAAAAAAGGTAAAAACCTGAACACAAATGTACATACATTTAAAAAAAAATAGAAAGCTTTCATAAGTTTAAACACCTGTTTATCAATGAGACATTGTAAGCTTAATATTTAAAAAAAAGTTTGAATCTGATAATTTGTTTATTGTAAACCTGTTTTTTAAATTTTGTAAAAGTTTGCTTTTTATTTAAAAGCAACAATATTAAAGTAAACTCTATGCACATATCAATATATATCTTTTTTAAAGTTGTAATTAATTTCTTTTTGTAAAAAATATGCTATTGTAGATTTAATAGTAAAAGAAAGCAATTTAAATATTTCAACATAAAGACCTAAAAAATTAACATATGATTGAAATAAGAGAAATCATATTTGTGTTTTAACAGCATTAAGAAATTGTAAATCATAAATTTATTCTTCTGTAATTTGAATTAATAAAAATTAATATTTTTTTATAACAAAATAGATCAAAATAATTGACATGTGGTAAATAATACCAAATTTTATTGTATTTTATAAATTTTAAAAGCTTTATTTGTCTAATAAACACCTACTTTGTTCTATATTTTGTATATAAAATTAATGTATACGTTCATAACTAAAAATTTAATAAATTTATATTAAAATTTAAGTTTAAATTTTTAAAACGATAAATCTTTTACATGACGCGATTTTGATGCATTTTTGTGTATATGACTCTAGTCATATTAATAACAAATTAATCATTGTTTAATATAGTTTTTATTAACCCACCTAAAATTAAATATGTCATTTTTTAAATTATACATTTTATATGCATAACTTTTTTCAACTGTGTATTTAAAACAAATTATATTAATAGTCTCTTATATTCATTATTTATAAAGTTTATATACATGAGAAGTAAACAATTAACACAATAAAGTGGTTTTTAAATATTAATAACAATATCTAATTTAATTTCACAAAATATTAATAATTAACATTGTTAGGGTTTTAAGCGCCCAAAATCAATATTTCATCATAATTGATAAAAATTTAATATTATGACACAAGGTGTCTATCTTGTACATTAAATCCTTTTGTGATTGCATATGCAGCTTAGTTATTTAAAATTTTTGTTTTTTGATTAAAATTAAATTTTATTAAAAAAGTTGTAAATTAAATTTTCATTTAAAAAAATTGCAAATAAAATTATAAAAAATTAAAGAATATATTTTATCCCCATTAATGTTATCAAAAAAGAGTTTATATATTTTATCAATATGTTCAGTATTAACAACAATTTTTATATTTACAATTCTTAAATACACATGCATTTTTAGATCACATTCGTGTGCATCAACTAAGATATCCTTAAAAGATACTGTATTAGCTCAATTTGACATCGATGTTGCATTTAAAGAATACGCAAAAATATTTGATACATCTTTGAATAACAAAGAAGATTTCGTATTTATGACTAAAGCTTACTATTATATCTTTAAAATACCAAAAAAAGTATTGGAAAAGTATTATCGTGATGTTTTTCATGAGTTTTCAAAAGAATCATCTACGGTTATCTCTTCCCAAGAATCTGAAGACTCTATACTCCAGATTCTTAATAAATTCCAAGAAAAACTTGATTTTCTTTTCTCTATTCGTCATACTAAAGAAACATACGTAAATGCAGTTACAACAATCATGGAGGGATTGGTTTTATACAAAAAATTAGACGTCGGGCTTGTTAATTTTTTTTTAAGATTTATCCGAAATTTCGATACAAGTTTGAACAGCCTTTTAGAAGACGATTTAAAAAATAAATTAACAGAAAGGAAACTAAAAGAGGGGGTATTAATGTTATCATATATTGAAAAAGCACTAATTGGTATTTAAAACATTAATTATATGTAAAAAAGTAAAGATGTTTGTACTTGATTTAATGGGCTTTATACCTGATTTTTTTGCAAGTTTGTTTATTTTTTCTTCGCTTAAAAATCAAGTATATATAAAATTTAAACCTTTTTTTCAACCTAAAAATTTTTAAGTACAAAAAATAATGTTTTGCTTTTTTAATTGCATTAGACAAATTCTGCTTCATTAAAGCTATTAAATTAAAAATTTAAAAATAGTTACGAGAATTTGAAGAATGTAGTGCGATAGCAAATGGAATATTATAAAAAAATAAACAGAAATTTTAACGAATAATTTAATTAAGAGAGAAAGAGAATTTTTAACGGACGTTTTTGGAAATAAAATTTTTGATTATACATGTAAATAATAAAATCTCAACTAAAAGATTAAAAAAAGTCTGAAAATTTTGAAGATGCAATTTTCAAAACAATTAATGTTATCTTAAGTAAAAGTGTTTTTAAATAAAATGAGCCTGGCAAAATTAAGAGTTGTCTTTGATTGCACACGAACTTTAAAATCCAAGAGACTGCGTGGATAAAGATTTATTGAAATACATATACACTTTTGTAGGAGAATATGTTGCAAAATGTCCGAGAACATGTCGGAAGTGCACAAAAGCTTTAAAATGCACGGCTGACACATCTAATAATAAAGAATAGAAAAAAAGGAGAATAAGTAACAGATACTGACAATTAAATATAAAACGCAATACGGGTTAAGAAATATTTAATAATGTTTATCCAATAAAAAATCAACACAAATAGAACTTGCTAAGCAAGGAATTCTCTGAAGAAAAAAAGTTTTAATAAGTATAGGAGAAACTAAATGTATAGAAGTAAAACAAGTGAAAAGATTTAATTTGAGAAAAAAATTAAAATGTTATAAGAAGCTACTTCAGTCATAAAAACATTAATTACAATATAAATTATATTGAAGAAAGTCTTAGAGCGAAATATTTGAAAAAAAAGATAAAATTAGAAGTCTTTTAGACTAAGATTGGAAATTTTGAAGCACAATGTTGAATGACGATGAAAAGAACATTTTTTGAACTCAAATAACCTGTAAATGATTGCGTAGAGTAACAATTTAAAAAACTATTACAATTTATTAATCAATACGCATTTAAAAATCTTATATTTTATTTGTATTAATATTATTAGTTGAGTCCGAATGTTTTTTAACTGCTTTAAAAAAACTATAATATTTTATTTAATTTTTTGAAAATTATAGCTGAAGTATGCGCAAATGTGACAGCTAGTTATTTAAATAGCATAAATATAATCTATAAAGATTTTTAAAATCCACCCTTAGAATGTCGAATGACAATATAGATGCATATCTAAATATAATTAATGATACATTAACAAACTTACAAGAAGATTTTGATTTTCTGTATGAAGCTGCCAATAAAAGACCAAAAGAACAAGATGAAGAAAAAATTAAATTACTTGAAGAAATTGCACAACTCAAAACACACATTTTAACTTTAGAAACAAACGAAAATATGCCACTAGTTGTAAATAAAATTGAAAGTTTAGACGGTGAGTTACAAGCAAGAATAGAGCATCTTGAAAGTAAACTTCAAGATGCGCAATTTGAAACCTTATTGTTGAATTCTAAAGTTAAATCTTTACAAAATGAAATAATTGATCTTAAAGGCGCAATAAGAGTATTTTTAAGGATACGACATACCGGAGAATTATCAAATATTGAAATACAAAACAATAAAATTAGTATTTTACATCTCAATAGGACACATAATTTTGAATATGATAGGGTTTTTACACCAGATGATTCACAACAAGAAGTTTATAATGAATTACTTAATATCATTGAAAGTGCTTGTGATGGTTATAAAATATGCATTTTTGTATACGGTCAAACAGGTAGTGGAAAAACATATACAATGATTGGTACAGAAACACAACCAGGAATAATTTATAAAACCCTGAATACTTTATTTAGTGTAAAGACCCAACTAGAAAAAGATGTAAATAATAATTTTAAATTAGAATATTCTTGTATAGAAATTTATAATGAAGAAGTAATTGACTTAAATATGAAAAACAATCATTTTTCTGGTAAAACTATAAATTTAACATCTTTAGAAGAAGCTTACGATTTAATTACAAAAACACTGTCAACTAGACGAACCGAGAAAACAAATTGTAATTTACAATCAAGTAGAAGCCATTTGATTTTTACTTTACACATTGAAACCAAGGTTAATAATGAAACGCGTGTAGGTACATTATGCTTTATTGATCTTGCAGGTTCTGAAAGGATAAACCAATCACAGGTAGAAGGAATGAGACTTAAAGAAACTGTAAATATTAATAAAAGTCTAAGCTCGCTAGGAAATGTTTTTATGGCTATTCTTAGAAAAGACTCTCATATTCCATATAGAAATTCTAAATTAACACATCAATTACAAGAATATTTTACAGGAAAAAGTCGTGTTGTTATGATTTTAAACATAAATAGTGGTGTTAATCAGCGAAATGAAACTATCAGTACGTTAAGATTTGGTGCAAAGGTCAGTGAATGCAAATTGGGACGTGTTGAAAAGAATATTACTAAAAATTTATAAATAATATATTTTTTGTATATGTCTTCTACAAAATTTTATAAGTTAAAAACGGTAGAGCGTTTTAATGCTTTAATTTATTTTAATTACATTAAAAATAAATAAATTTTAATGAAATTGCCTTTTAAAATAAACAAATTTTGATGAAAATGTTTTGATTTAAAACAATTTGTACAAACTGTCAATTAATATTATAAAAAAAATTTTGAAAAATAATTTATTCTTTTGTAAAGTAGTTATAGTTTTATAATTCCGTTTTTTAACAGTAGTAGTAGAACACAGTGCGTTAAAATTGCCATTTTAAGTGCAAAAGATTTTATTAAACTAACAAGATATTATGAGAATTGTATAACACTTTTATATTTTAAAACCCTTCTTTAATGAAATTGCTACAGATAAATTCGGTAGAAGAAAAACCGATAGAGTTTTTAGAGAAGTCTGACCAATACCGTAAAAATATTTTATTTAATAAAAATAATGAAATAGTAGACAACGATCTTGATTTTGACATTTTACGAGATGCTAGAAGAGCAGCAGAGGCACATAGGCGTGTACGTTATAAAGTACAAAACGCGATTAAACCTGGAATGCCGATAGTTGACATAGTAAATATTATTGAAGAAAATACACGAATTTTACTCAACGGTGAAAGAAATAATGGAATTGGATTTCCTGCTGGAATGTCTATTAACGACTGTGCCGCACATTTCACAGTTAACAATGGAGACAATATTTGTTTAGGGGTTGATGACATTCTTAAGATTGATTTTGGAACCCATTCTAATGGACGTATTATGGATTCCGCATTTACTGTTGCATTCAATCCCGAGTACGAAAATTTGCTTTTAGCTTCTAAAGAAGCCACAAATGCTGGAATTAAAGCTTTGGGTGTAGATGTAAGGTTGTGTGATATTGGTCGTGATATTTATGAGGTTATGAAAAGTTTTGAAGTAACAATAAAAGGTAAGACATTTCCCGTTAAACCGGTTTTTGATTTACATGGACATTCTATAGGTCAATATGTTATTCATGCTGGGTTATCGATTCCGTGCTATGATAATCTCGATTCAACAAAAATACGAGAGGATACATTTTATGCAGTAGAAACCTTTGCTACTACTGGAAGTGGTCATATTAAGGATAGTTCTCCGTGTACGCATTACGTTTTAAATAATAAAAAGAGTGCTGTACTAAAGAATCTTAACTGTATAAAAATTTATAATTTTGTAAAAAATAAATTGGGTACACTTCCTTTTAGTCCTAAGCATATCGATTATTTTAACTTAATAGACGGACCATCTCAAATGTACATTAAACTTCTGGCGCAGAGAAATCTGTTGATTTCATATCCCCCTTTAAATGATATTAAAGGATCATATGTCGCACAATTTGAACATACGTTATATTTAACTGAAGGATGCAAAGAAGTTCTAACAAAAGGTGATGATTATTAATTAAATATTTTTTTATTTTTTTTTTGAAACACGTTTTTAGCTGTAAAACTACTGGTTACTTAATTTTATAAATTTATATTAGATGACAGAAAAACATGTCGGATAAAGTAGATGAAAATGTAAAGGATAATGAAGAAAAAAAGAATGAAGAAAATAAAGAAGAGAATAATGAAGTAAAAGAAAACGAAGAAAATATTGATCAATCACAACTTCCATTAACACCAGAGGCCACAAAAAAACAAGAAATAGTCAGTGACATCATAGCAAGCAATCCGATACAAGTGGTTGACGAACCAGAAGATGAAGTTAGAGCATTTACTAAAAAAAATGTGATAGAAGAAGTAGAATTTGGATGGTTTAATCTTAATGCATATTTAGATGCACAACTTCAATCTGTTCCTGTTACATTGCGTGTTCTTGGCGAATGTCTGTCAGTTATTATACTCTTTATGGTGTTTCCAGTAGGTTTATTATTTTTAATTAAGGGTAAGACACGGGGAATTAATGTACTAAAAGATATTCTAAATGTAGGTGTACAAAAAGATCAAATAAGTAATTTTGTACAATTTTATGTATTTTTGACATGTGTATATATTTTGTATGTTATTGTCTATTTTATTTCTGATAACATTTTGTATATTTGTCTATTTATATTGGATTTATTTAATATGTCAGTTACAGAATTTACTGTACAAATCTTACAAATCATTAGAGCTACTAGTTATTATTGGACAAATTCGCTAATATTCTGGTTAATCTTTCAAGCTCATAATTTTTTATTCCATAAATATCAATGGGCTGTAGGTAGCACTGATAAGGCATTTATATTCGTGACATTTGTAATTTGGGTTAGTATTTGGATGTTTGTTCTTTTTGTAATTAAGTTCTGTCTCACATACTGTACATCTGAAATTAGAAGAAGAGATTATCGAGATAGAATTTGGGATATTAATTATAAAACGTTTGTGTTTAAAAAGTTAGTTACTATCTCTAAAACTGACAAAGATGGTAGAAAAAAGGTAGCAGATTCAATGGTTAGTGATTTTGATCCAGGGTTTTATTTAAAACATAACGACATAAAACTTAGTTCCAGGGAAGATGCCATAAATCTAGTGGAATCGATATTTGCATATTTTGAGATACAAACGCTTTCTTTCGAAGACATTAAAGAGTACTTTCCTGACAATCCTGAAGAGGTGTACGAATATTTAGCAGACAAAAAAATTGAAAACGAAAAGGCGGATCCTATAAAATTTGAGCGCATGCAAGACGCAGCGATACATTTGCAACAAGAGAGATCAGATATGTTGAGGACACTACAAGATAGAGATAGTATTTTTAATAAGTTGGATTTAATTCTTACAACAGCAGGTACTTATGGCTGTTTTCTTATTCTTCTCTTTTTGTTTGGTATACCATATCAAATATATTTAGCTTCTATAGGCCCTATATTTTTTACATTCAGTTGGATTTTTAGTGATACCATTAAAGAGATCTACAACTGCTTTGTATTTCTACTAGTAAAACATCCTTATGATGTCGGCGATAGAGTTATTATAGACGGCCAGGAGTATCTTGTTAACAAAACAGATGTCCTTGCTTCTACATTTATAGACTTAAACGGTAAAACTGTGTACATTCCTACACCTGTTTTGTTTTCAAAAACAATTTGTAACATGAGAAGAAGTAAAAAACAGTCAGAATCACTGACACTTCTTATAGACAGATCTACAAAATTTAAGGATGCAATTAAATTTAGAGATAAATTAAAAAAAGCACTTTCAGAAGAAAAGAAAAATTTTACTGGCGAAGTGATTATTAGAAAATTTGAGATTGCAGAAGGTAATTTATCACTTACTTTAGACATACAACACACTAGTAACTTTCAACAAGCGAATGAAAAACTTAGAAGAAGAGATTTGTGTACAGAAATTGTATCAAAATGTTTATCAAGTTGTGGAGTTAAGTATACAAACTCATTTAAATATGTTGATTAAATGGAAAAAAGGGTTATTTTTAATAAAACTAGATGACAATAAATTTTTAAAGACACGCATGTAGATTTAACTATTTTTGATATAAAAAAACAGCAAATATTTTAATTTTTTAAAAGGTTTATTTTTTTTATTTACTGACTTTATATTCTTTGCTCAATTAAACGTAGTTTTCTATAAATTCGTCGCTTCACTTTTTAAACTTTTTAAAATAAAGAAAACAAGTTATTACCCATAAAGAGGAGTATAACCAGGTTATATGTACTTTAAAGAATTATTTTAATCTTACTTTTTTTAAAGCTTTTTACTCAATTTAAAAAAGTCGTTAAAAGTAAATTTTGTAACACGAAATTTTTATTAACCCGAGAATTGGTGCTATAGTCCAGTGGCAAGATGCGTGCTTCGGGAGCATGAGACCCGAGTTCGATCCTCGGTAGCGCCCAAGTACTATTTTATATGCAGTATAAATTTCTAAAAATTAAGTTCCACAGTAAAATTATATTATTTTGTTCATAAAATTTATATTGAATTAAAACATAAGCTAACAATCGTTAAAGATTTTTTTTTAAGTTTTAAGTTATTTTTAAAGAATCGGTTTTACTGTTTTTATAAATACTAAAGAATACTAATTTATGACTATGCAAAGTTGCTAAACGTGATTTATAATTAAAAATAATATTTTTTTTTCTTTATTTTTAGCTATAACATTATATGGTAAAAAATTATTAATATTTAAACACAGCCGATATTGATTGTAAGTGAAGTATTTAGGACAAGAATAATTAGAAATATTAAACATGATAAATAAAAAGAGTATTTATCCTCTGATGTATATTCATATTTAAATTATTCTTTATATTTAAAAGTTTGTTACAATTATATTTCGAAAGTAGACAAATTTATATACAAAAAAAATTACCCCATTTATGAAATTTGGCTCAAACTATATCCCTGAAGAACATATAATAGTTAAAACTAAATATAGTTTTATATTTACAAATTTACGTCCATTTCTTCCTTATCATATTCTTGTATCACCAATATCTCAAAAACAATTTCTTTCTGATTTATCTAAAGAAGAATATATAGATCTTTTTGAATGTGTTCGTCTTTCACTAAAATCTCTATCTTTATATGGCACATCTTTTACTGTTTCATGCCAAGATGGTAAAGAAGCAGGACAAAGTGTCCCACATGTACATATACATATTGTACCTAGAAATAAAAATGATCTAGAAGATAATGACCTTATTTATGCTAAGGGTGCACTAGATATTATAAGAAGTGATAGAACATTTGAAGAAATGGCAGAAGAAGCATTATTGCTAAGAAAAGATTTTAGTAAATTTTTTACCCATTGTGATGATAATTGAGATTTTGTCTAATAATGATGGATACATTTATCTACAAAAAGATGATAATACTAATATAAGACATTATAAAGATAAAATAGTATCACATGAAATTATTGATTCTATTAATATTTATGCAGTAAAAGACTTATGTAATACTATTAATTTATCAGATAGTGATAATTCCATGCTAGAATTTAAATGTAAACATGGAATAAATATTCAGTACTCTAGTCTCAATCTTTTGCCTTCTGAAAATTGGCATGAACTTATTGACTGCTGGTCATGTCATGATAACGAATTTGCAAATGTTAAAAATCTTAGAATAAAAGTTAGGCCTAATGGTATACTTTTATCATCATTTTTTATTCTAATAAACTCTTGTGATCTACCTATTTGTTGTCAGGTACAAGAACCGACGCATGTAAAAAAAATATGGTTAAATAATTTACAAGGTGTAAATCATAAAAAACTTATTTTTTTTTATCTTGCCACTTATTTTAATTCTAATAGTGTATATATTTTCCAATATGAAGGAAAAATTTATGAAATAAAACTTTTCTACACTTGTAAATGTTTAATCTATGAAGATAAAAAATATTTTAATGTAATGAAAATTGGCATAAAAGAGAAACATAACATATATTTTGATGATACAAAAATGAAAGAAACTATAAATGAATACTACATTAAATTAATATATGAAAGTATTTTACATATAAACATAAAAATTTTAGATTATCAAACAGGATTCATTTATTATTAAAATTATTTAATTATTAATTTATCATATATCAATCGACTTAAACTTCGAATTTCTTCGTCTCTACTGTCTAAAAATAAAAGTATTGATTCGTAAATATCTTTATGACACGATTCGTAATTCTTATGATTATCAAGACATTTAGAAATCAAAGTAAGCGCTCTAATTGTGCTACTATCTAAAAAGAACAAAATAGATTTAGTTAATTTTTTTATGTCTTTACTATTATTACTAACAATACTAAATTCATTTGCAATATCTTCACCACTAAAATAGTCAGATAAAAATGTATATAGAATATCTTCACTATCCAAATTAAAATGAACAAAATGTTTATTAATCATTTCGTATTTTTTTGCATAAAGCAATTTATTGAAATAAATATTTTTGTAATCAATTGTAAAGAATTTTGTTAGTTTCATAAACAAAATTAAGTTATTAAGATAAATATATTCTAGTAAATTTGTGCAATCAAAGTTTATCTCATTAACAAATTTATACTTAATTATATTATAAATCAAATTATGGCTAAGATTTTCAGGGCCTGGAAACAATTCAATGTTAATATCTTTGTACGTTTTTAACAAATATACTAACAAGTAATCATAATCCGTCATTTTATTATGTTTACATATACTTTTAATAAGTATATTATGACTTATATTTATTAGTGATAAGTCTTTTTTGAAAGATGTGTAATCAAACAACTTAATAAAATCATCAATAAATGGAATCATTACATTTCCGTATTTCTTAAATAGGACAAGAATAGATTTTTTTTGTTGTTTAATAAAATCTAAACTAACCTTGTTTATAATTCTTATATCGTCATAATCAGTAAAAGAAATTAAATAATCCATAATATCTAAATTAGAAAAACAACTATCAAGAATTTGATCTTTAAAGTTATTTATAAATTCATATTCTGGTTTGTACAGATAAATTAAATCTAAGTTGTTTTGAATTAATTTTATATCATTTAAAATTGTGTTTATAATATATTTGCATTTAGATTCTGTAGCACAAAACTCATTAATAATAATTTTCAGCTTTTTATAATATGGTTTATCCAAAAAATGTATTAAAAATTGTGCATTATCTTTTAAAACAGGTATAATATCTTCTACTTCAAATCTATTAAGCATATAACTACAAAAATTAAGATTAAAATTAAAAAATTTACAAAATTTTAAAATAAATTCTAAATTGCGATTCTTTAAAACCGATTCGTATCCCAATTTATCGCACAACTCTTTTAAAACAGAAAAATTGTTAATTCTTTCAATAATATTATTATCTTTATTAAAATGAAAAAGAATTAAATCAATGTCAATACAATCCTCAATTGCAAATTCTGCAAGAGACTTATAAACATTCTGTTCCTTAAAAAGATAATCAACATACAAATTATGAAATTCACAATAATATTTAAGATTTGTCATAAAAATCTTATTATAATTTTGTTTACATAATTCTTCTAGTTCTTGGATGCTAAGTATTACTTCACAAAAAACATTCGGTTCAAAAGTAATAAAATTTAAACATATAATTAAAATATCTTTATCTTTAATGTGTAAATCTTTATAATTAAATTCATTTAAAATACACATCATGGTTTCTTTATCAAAAAAGTTATAAATCTGCCTGCTAATATTTTTAATTTCTTCTTTGAATTTAGGATATAAAATTTTATATAATCTTTCTTTAGGCTCAATTTTTTCAGCTAGATCTTTGTAAAATGAAAAGTCATCTTCTAAAAAAAAATCTTCATTATTAAAAAAAATAAAATGCAAAATTTCATATTCTGCCCGTGTAAAATTTATATCTTCAAGTTTGTTGTTTTTTAACCAACAAAAATAATCTTCTAATTTTTGTAAATTTTTTAAAAGTTCCCTACTTGAATTCTGTTTAAAACAAGTAGTATTTGTATCAATGGTCATTAAAACATCAACATCTGTAATAAGTTTCTTACTAAAAGTTAATTTACCTTCTAAAGCCGATTTAATTTTTACAACTAACTGATTTTCATCATTGTTAATTTTTTCAATAATATCATTTAATGGTCCTTCATATTTATGCACAAAATTTAAATTTTTTATCAAAAAATGTTCGATTAGTTCATTTAAAAAATCTTTTAAATGTTCATAGAAATCAAAATAATCAACAACCATATAAAAAAAATCGATATATTTAGCACAGCATTCAGCATAAAACTGAGTACTAAATGAATTTTGACTCCTTAAGAAATCAAATTTACTAAGAATATTAGTGTAATATTTAGGATAAGGCAATGTAATAAAAATAAGTTCTTTTTGATTATATTTATAAACATGATATTTTCTAATCAAAAAATCTAATAAAAAACCAAATTCTTCTTTATGTCCATAGATTACTAATGACATTAACCAGCTCTTAAATTTTTTGTTAAATTTCAATTCTTCAATCGTCGTTAAACGAAGACGATCGAAGTGTAAAGAAGAAGATGAAAGATATTTTGTGTTTTTTATACAATCAGGAATAAGATCTAAAAGTGATTCTAAATCCAAGTCTTCTGAGTTTGAGTATTTTTTGGAAAAAGAGGATGTTTTTTTAATTTTTTTAAGTTGCTCTAAAATCATGGGGGAACAGAATTATGGAAATATTTATTTAGCTCTTTTTTACAAATAAATTAAAAAACATTTTGCTGACTTTTTATTGTCAAGATTATGAATTTAGAATAAGATAAATTCGATGTTTTATCAATACGCTAAACTGTAACATTATAACGTAATAATTTATTTATTGATTTTTTTTGGAGAAATGTCGGCTCGTCAGATTCTTAGAGCGTTCTTAGTTATAAAGTTTTTAGATTACTTCTTTACAAAATACCATTAATGTTTTCTTTAATTCTCAGATTAATCTCTTTTACGCTTTGCTCAACATTTTTTTTCTTGTCCATACTAAATTATCCTTTTCTTAGAGCTGTTAAACTAAAACATTTAACGAAAAAAATATTAAGAATTTATATTATAAATATTTTACAAATCAAAATGAATTGTACAAATTTAAATGAATGGTACAAATTTAAATAAATGTCGTAATTTTTATCTTTAATAAAAATGAAATGCAACTAGTTTTTAAACTACAACGAAATGTGAGATTCTACCTGCGTTATATAAATCACAATTTGTGACACAAACTTATTCTCCAAAAACATTTCAATAAATTAATTTTAATATTTTTCATAAGTTCTAAAATAATTTTCTTCCTTTGCAATTGCATAGCCTTTAATATTCTCATCCTCCACATCCTTTATCACATATTTACTCATGTTATCTAAAATGTCCTTATATTTTTCAAACGTTATAGATTTTCTTGCATCAAGTCTTTCCTTAAAATCATCAATTTCACATCCTTCTTTAACCTTTTGAATACAAAAGATAGATCCTACACATCCAGAACCAAAACTAAATAAACATACAACATCATTCACTTTTATTTTTTTACTCGATATAAGCGAAATTAAACTAAAATACAAAGATGCCGTATAAGTGTTACCATTATGTCTTGCTGCTAACAAAGAATCTTCTACCTTTTCCTGGGGTATATTGTATTCATTACAAATTTTACTAACAAGTTTTGGATAAGGAGCATGGAAAGCAATGTAATCAAAAATATTATGCGAGAAATCGTCAACTAAACCATCAAAAACCTTTTTAAATGTTTTTTTATACACTTCTATTGATTCTTTACCTTCAACATAGGGAAAAAATCTGGATTTATGTTTTAGAAAGTCTTTTTCATTAGAACTGTAAGTAAATAAAGTGTGAGGTAATACTTTATACACGGGATCCCTGCCTACTAACATTGCTACAGCCCCTGCACCTGATGTAGGAATAATGGGTTTATCATCATACATAGAAATATCTGTACAGACCACGATAGCATACTTATGTTTACAAAACGAAGATTCCATCCAAGCCAAACAATTTAAAAGTGCATTTGTCCCTCCATAACAAGCATTAATTGAATCACATCCACTTATAGAATCATTGTCTTTAAATAGCTGAAGTAAATAAGTTTTGATTGATTTAGCACCATCAAAATGACATTCTGATCCTACTTCTATTTTTCCTACATCTTTAACATTTACATTATATTTAACTAAAAGATTTTCAACAGCAGAAAGTGCTAAACTAACAACATCTTCTTTGTAGCCAACTACTCCGACCTCATGCATACCCAAGCCTATTTTAATTTTGTTTATGTCCCAACCTATTTCAAAAGCTACCTCAGATTCATCCATCTTGTTACATGGCAACTGATACTCGATACCTAGAATACCAACCGATTTCTCTTCTGTCATAATCTGGGGTAATATTTTTTTAAATACAAAAATATTGATTTAATTAACTACAGAATTGTTAGAATTTAAACAACTTAATTTTCTTGTAGTTAATCAAAAACATTAACAAATATTTTTTTTATTTAAACATATTATGATATCACAATTTTAATAAAATCACTATTTAATTAATTAAAATCAACATCTATCTCAGAATTTTGTTCAATTGATTCATTATATTTTTTACTTAAATAACAGACACTCCTGATCCACAAAAAATTTGCAAATATTAAAAATATAAAAGACACGTATGATACTTGTCTAATATCTGGAATTTCTATAAACGTCAAAAAAGTTCCATATAAAGAGATAATAGATTTACCAATTTTGATACATACACCATCATAAAAACTTTTAAATTTATACCTGTATTTAACAGGCACCCTCATAGAAAGCATTTCTTTTGCTAAATCAAATAAAACATATTTGGTAATTTTAGAAAATGCAAATCCAATGGTTGCACACCAATTTTCAAGATTTATTCTTAAGACCGATGGAGCTGTGCGCAAATTGTAAAAAGAAAGTCCTGAAATTAGAGCGGTAAAAAATATAGCAGCAATAGGGGAGGCAATAGATAGATAAAAGATCCTTGATGCAATGCGATTTCCACGGATTACAAAGTTATAAAATAATGATACAGCACTAATCGTTAAGGAAGTTGTTACTAAATATTTTTGAGAATAATCTTTCGGAGGCATATTATTAATTCTGCTTCCCGTAGATAAAGAATTTTTTAAGGACATATCAATAAATCCTGCATTAATAGCATAGATTAATGCCGCTGCACACATATTTCTTAAAAATTTGGATTGTAAAAGATCAAACGAGGATGTCGTTTTGTCTTCTTCTTTATTTATAGTTTCCTTTATTTCTTTAGTTTTAAGAGGAATATAACTTTTTAAAAAGTAAATTAATGTAGTTACAAAAGACAAGATCAAAAAAAACAAACTACTACCGTCAATTTTATCATGCAAACCTGCAGGAAGTATATTTGCTAATTCATCTTTTATATAAATAAAAGCTACAGAAATAATCATTGAAATGGCGGTGATTGTGGAAAAATTAGGAACAATTTCTTTCATTTCATCTTCTGTACAAGCATGATTGGCTAACGCATATAAAGCAAAACCAACTACTAGAGTACTCCACAACTCCGATAAGATGTAACATAAAGTACTTATCCACTCACTGTACATATATAAAAAAGGAGATAAGCCCATCAAGCTTCTAACTGACATCTTACCATCACAAAAAATATCTAGTGCCCATTGTGATCCTTTTTGGATTTTATATTCAAATGGAATTAAAAGAGAACCAATTAGAAAAAAAATGCCAATAAAACCAAAAATAATAAAATTCACAATACTAAGAATAGAGTACACATTTAAAGCCTTTTGGACATATGACATCATAAGACATATAATTGGCAGTGAAAAGAAAAGCTTTATGTAGTACAGTGACGAAGGAATTTGTTTTGTTATAATCACGATTTCTCTGTAAAATTCCAATAATGTGTTAATCACACATGCCATTAAAAATGTAAGTGACAATAATATTTTTACTTTTGGGAATTTTTTTGTCTTAGTCATTTAAGGGCCCGTTATAATTTTAATAATTTTGCTCTTAAAGGAGAATATTTAAATTAGATTTTCAATAATTAAAAAAGAGAAACCTTTTTGTACAATTACTGTCTTTTTATAGTTTCAATTCATTTTTTTACCATAGGTTAAATGTTATATAGAATTTTAATTATTTTGTAAAAAGTCAATTTTTTACAAAAATAAGCAAAAATAAAGTTATATTTATGATATAGAATTTAATATGTTTTACAATATTTAATTTTAACATCGTTTATAGTAATTTTGACAAAGCGTGTAAATATTTTGAGTTTATTTATGATTGTAAAATACTTTTTTATTAGCTTTTTTTTGTAAAACAAAACGTTTTTTTTAATTAAATAATGTGACAGTTGATGTTTTTTACATAATGTACTTTTTCATTATATTTAAGTTATTATAGATCTTAGTTAATCTTAAATTATAAATAATTTGAGATTAAATTATTTATTATTTATTTAAGTAAATTTGATAATTATTATATTCCTCCAATTATTTTAATTTATTTCATAAAGTTATAAAAATTAAACAAACACAAATGGTAAAGTTCACTAAAATGTCACTAATCCTTTGTATCAAATTTAATTTGTGGTCTGTTTTGATTAAAATTGCAACTGTTTAATTTACCTTGAAATTTGAAAATGTGGAATTTTATGTAAATTGATAAGAAAACAGAATAATTTATAAACATTTGAATACAAAAATAAAATATTGATTTTGGACAACTAAACGATATTATACTTTTTGTTAAATTTTGGTTATTTTCACATATTTTTTAAGAATACTCAAATGATGATGTGACTTTTAAAAAATTATTTTGCCCTCAACGGTTTAATGAAAGAAGTTAAAGCAGCAACCGATTTAGAACTGTTGGTTAATAAAATTGATAGCACGGGATATATTTGTAGGCTTAAGCAATCTGTTAAAACATGTAAAATATGCAACATAAAACATTTTATATCGCATGATTGGTTTACTGATTTAGAAAAAGAATTTAAAGATGATTATTTTGAAACTCTTTGTACAAAACTTCATGGTAAGGTGTTTTTTCCTAAAGTAGAAAATATATTTACTTTTACGTATTTTTTTCCGTTAGCAGACACAAAAGTTGTTATTTTAGGGCAAGATCCATATCACAACTTAAATCAAGCTATGGGTTTAGCCTTTTCTGTTCCCAACAATGTTAAAATACCGCCTAGCTTAAAGAATATTTTTCAAGAGTTAAAAAATGACATTTTAGATTTTGTAATTCCAAAACATGGAAATCTGGAAGCATGGGCTAAACAAGGTGTTTTACTTTTAAATGATGTACTTACTGTCGAACAACACAAACCTGGTTCACACAGCGATTTAGGTTGGGAAATATTTACCAAAGCAATTTTAAGTAAAATTAACGAAACATGTCAAAACGTTGTTTTTATTTTTTGGGGAAACTATGCTAGGTCTAAAAGTAAGTATGTAAATAAACACAAACATTTAGTACTTGAAGCCGCACATCCAAGTCCTTTTAGTGCTTATAAATTCTTTGGGTGTAAACATTTTTCTAAGACAAATGAGTATTTAGTAAAGAACGGAAAATCTCCAATTAATTGGAATTTATAGTTAATAGCTAATAAATGTTATGTCAAAAATATTTTTAAATTTATTTAAAACTTTATATAATTTTTTTTGATAAAAAAGTAGCATAAATCTTAAAACCCTTATAAATGACTTTTTTACATAAATTAGTAATTAAAGGTGTACGTTCTTATAATCCCAATAAAGCACAAACTATTGATTTTCAGCATCCATTAACATTAATTGTTGGGCAGAATGGTACGGGAAAAACAACACTTATTGAATGTCTTAAATACATTACAACTGGTACTCTTCCACCCAATTCAAAAGGAGGTGCATTTATTTACGATGGTGGATTAGCTAATAATACAGAAGTCAAAGCTGAAATAAAACTGTATTTGCATAATTTTTATGACAAAGAAATTGTAATTCAAAAAATTATTCAAACAAGCATAAAGCAAAAAAAGACTGAACAAAAAATTTTAGAATTTAATGTTTGGGTAAATAACAATCCAAAAGAAATTATTGATTTTGATAATACATTACGCTCATCATGTGGAAAAATAAATAAAGATGATTTAAGCAGTATTTTGGAGATAAATACTAGTATTCTTGAAAATATTATTTTTTGTCATCAAGAAGATACAATGTGGTATTTAGCGGAACCTGCAACAATCAAAAAAAAATTTGACGAAATTTTTTCTTCTACGCGTTATTCAAAGATTTTAGAAAATTTAAAAAAAGCAAAAAAAGAAATTGCTACGAAAAGTAAGGTAATAGACACAGAAATGTCATATTTGTTAAAAGCTAGAGATAAAAAATTTGAAATAGAAAATAAATGCGCAACATTAAAAGAAGATTTGGAAAAAAAGATTTGTAATATTTCTGCTCTCGAAAAAAACGAAAAAGATTGTACAAGCATTTTAGCTAATTTGAATACAGAACAAGGTAAAATTAACATTATTGTTGAAAAAAAGAAAGAAATTTCTAATTTCAAAAACCTGTCTAAAATCACATATACCGAAGATGAATGTAATAATTTATTTAAGACAATTGATATAGATGCTATAAATAATCAAATTATAGATTTAGAAAAACAGATTAAAAATCAAGAACAAGAGATTCAATCAATAGAAAAGAATAAGCAAATTTACGAACAAAAACAACAAGAAGTTAATAAGCTAGAGACAGAAAAAATACAGATTTTAAATGCTTTGCAAACATGCTCTGAAAATATTTCAGTACTAGAAAAATGGTTAAATGATCAAAAAGATCGATTTCAAACAAAAATTAAACTTGGTTTACAAAATGTAAAGTCAGATGACTATAAAAATATTTTTGAATTATTTTTTAAAAGTTATGATCAAGAGCTAAATAAAAAGATTAAGGTTGTAGCAGATTTAAAAAACCAATGTGACAAATATTATTTAGAGCTTGAAGAGAATAGAAAGAAAATTAAATCTTTAGAATATTTAAAAAATTTCAAATATGAAGAAAAAGATTATTTTGAAATTGAAAATCTTGATGAAATTCTTAAAAAATTAGAAAATGAATATGAGAAAGCAGTTAATTTAACAAGAGAAATGATTATTAATGAAGAAAAAATCAATAAAAGGGATTCTATTTTAAAGTTGTTACGAAACAAAACTAAACTTAAAGAAATTGATAATGTCAAAACTAATATAGAAAAAATTAAAAATACAAAAATAGAAATAAGAAAAAATGATAAGCTTTTAAATGAGCTAGAATCTTTAATTATACTCATAACTTCAAAATTTGAAAATTACAATGACAAAATTTATGATAATGTATCCTGCTTATCACATAACACAGAAGATACTGTATATTTGGACTTAAATATAGCACACAGAATTTTAGATATCAGTAATAAAAATTATCGCTGTTTTTTATGTGAACGATCAATAGAAAGTATGGATAAGTATAAAAGTAAATTAATAAATTTATCTAACAATGAAGCTTTAAGAAAACATAAAATTTCCGAGAATAATTATAACGTAAAAAAAGAAATACTTTCAAGGATTCAACAATTTAATGAAAAAACAAATAATAAATTCATGTTGAAATTATTTTCTACAGATAAAATGCAAGATTTTTGCGTCTATGTAACTGAACTATTAGATAATCTTCAAAATTATAAAACATCAATTAAGAATGAAATTAATGATTTTGAGCTATCAATTATAGATTTTGAGGAAGAGGTTAATATATGTAAGAATAATATTAATTTATTTAATGAAATAGAAAATTTAGATATAAAACCTATAAGCTGTGCTAAATTAGAAGATATTCAAAAAAATATTAAAAAGTACAAGACTTGCAAGGAGATAAAAAATGTTAAAATGCAAATGAATTATTTAGATGAATTAATTAGTAGAAATAATGTACTTGAAAAAAAATATGAAGATAAAAAGACAGAGTGTAAAAATAAAAACGAAAAAATGGAGGCGCTTAAAACCAGTATTTTTAAGAAAAAACTTGAAGTTGATTACAAATTAAATGATTTTTATTCTAAGAAACAGAATTATCTAGAATTAACAGAGAAACATAATAAATTGTCTCATAAACTTAATATATTGACAGAAAATTTTAAAGAGTTTAATCCTAACATGTTATCTGAAAAAATAGAACATAATCAAAAAAATAAAAATCTTATGTTCAGACTGAAAGATGAGCTTAATAACAAAAAGCAAATACTGTCGTCTGTCAATGAGCATTTAACGTACTATAAAAGTTTAAATAAATTTAAAAAAATAGAAAATGAAATTAAACTGCTAGAAGAAACCTTAAAAAGCAAATTTAATTTAGATATTAATACTTCTAGTAATGTAGTATTAGAATATTTAACCTCGCTTGAATCAAAAATAAAAACAATGAAAACTAAATATGATAAACTTTTAGAGAACAAAAACATACTAAAAGGTGAGATCAGTCAATTGAGAAACCAAATAAAAAGTTATGAAGTTGAACTACAAACTGAATATAAAGATGTTGTGCACATTTACAACAAAAAATATGTTGAAAATAAAATTATTGAGTTATCGTGCAATGATATCGATAAATGCATTACTGTTCTTGATAAAAGCATTATTGACTATCACTACAATAAAATTGAAGAAATTAATCTTAATCTTAAAGAATTGTGGTCTAATTGTTATAAAGGTAATGATATAGATTATATTAAATTGATAATCAATGAAAATGGATCTAAAAATTACAGTTACAAAATGATGATTGTTAAAAATAATATAGAATTAGATATGAGAAATAGAAGCAGTGCTGGTCAAAAAATGATTGGCAATATTTTATTAAGAATGGCTTTAAGTAGAGTTTTTTGCTGCAATTTTAATGTTTTAACACTTGATGAGCCTACTACAAATTTAGACAAAGAAAATGTAGAAAGTCTTGCCTATACTTTAGTAAATATAACAAAGACTAATCCTAATTTACAATTGATTATAATTACACATGATGAAGATTTTTTGTCAATAATGTGTAGAGAAAGTTTATCTTTCTATTATAGACTTACAAGAAATGTGAATGGTGATAGTGTTATTATTAAGGAAACTGCATAAACAGAAGTGTTTCAAAGTTTGTTTAAAATTATTAATTTATTTACTTAAAATGATGAGACTTGACAAACATATTTACAATTATTTAATTAGTAATAAAGATTATTCAGATTTATTATCAACCGAAAAGAAAGCGATAAGTTGTCAGAACAATAAGCTGTTAAAAAATAGATGCAAATTTTGCAGTTTTATATACAATTTATTCTACAGATTTAAAATTAACAACATTAGAAATATTTACTTTGAAAGTTCATTCATTGTAGTCATAAAAAAATACTTTTCTTCTGCACAAGCTAAAATGCCTAAAACGTTTACAAATAACAGGCAAGATTTTACATTTAGTCTAGATTGCAATATCAAATTTAAAAATATTAGTTCTATTTCGAGTGATATTTCAAAGATTTACAAACTTATTGCACATAAAGATTACGAAACTAGTACTTCAAATTTAAGATGTTTTGTAAAATTATTTAAATCAAAAAAAATTAGATTGCAAAAATTTTATAATTCAAAAACACTTCCTTTAAAGTTTACAATACTTAAAAAAGATATTACATTTACTTACATCTACAAACCCAACACAGATCTGTCAAATGATTTATTTGTTAGTCTCTTAAGCAATCATATATTTAAAATACTAAATATTAAATACAGAATGAGTAAAATACATTTAAACCAAAACTTAATTGAGATTAAAAAATCTAGAACTATAAAGAATTTTAGAAATTACAAAGATCTACGAAATACTATCTTAAAAGATTCTTACAATTCACTTAATAATTTTCTAAAAACATATGCAATATCTTTACTTATAAGTTATTTATTTGGAGTAGGAGATCGAACACTTGATAATATGATTATAGATAGTTATGGAAATTTTTATAATATAGATTTTGAATACATTTTAGGGGATGATCCTAAAATTTTTATAGATTTTGCTATACCAGATGTAATTTCTAAATTTCTTAAATCAGATATGTTAATTTATGAAAAATTTAAAAATTTGATTATTTTTTATTTTAATTTAATTCAAGAAAGCAGTTTTGAGATACTTTGCTATGCCAAAAAGTTACATAAAAATGGTATTTTTAATTTTCACTGGCATAAATTTGAAGAATATTTTAAAGAAAAGAATTCTATAAATAATAATTTTTTAATATTAAAAATAGATAGTGCAATAGTTGATCGTAGAATTAAGGTTATACATTTTTTAAATAAAGTGGGTAAATCTAGTGTTTTAAGGAAGTTACTGAATTTAGATATATTTAATTGTGCCTAAAACTTGTTCATATTAGTTTAAATTTGATTAATATTTATAAAGAGTGAAATTTTATATAAATTTATTTTTTAAGTATTTAATCTTATAGATTCATAAAATTACAAATTTTTGTTCTACCCTAAATGATTCACACCAATATTCCTATTTTCTCATCCTTTGCTTTAGCATTTGGCTGTACAAAAATTTTTAAAAAAATTTATGCCTCTTTTGACAGTGTTAAGACTTACAAATCTAAGAAGACTATTTTAGTGATAGATCCATTTACTACATTGTTAAATTATAAATTTTCATTTTGGAAATTTAATTATATTTTTACTAAACGTCATTTTACCGAAGAATTTATATTTAACTTAGGATACATGTATGATATTATTTTCATAACAGATAATAGTTTAATTAATAAGAATATTTATGATTTTATAGATCCTTTAGGAATTTCTGTGTACAGAATGTATACTCGAAATAAAAAAGGAGAAATTGAACATTTAAAAAAAGAAAATAAAGTAATAATATTAGAAAATAAAGATACAGAAGATTCTTGTAGTCTTAATATAAAACCATTCGGCTTATTATCTTCAAAATATGAACTTTTTGATGTAGTAAACTTTCTTACTACACTAAATTTTATGAAAGAAAAAAACCACATAAAAATTTTAGAATTTTATAAAAATAAAGATTTCTATATTTCATTTGATAAAATACAAAAGAAATTATATCAAATGAGGAACATGCTTAATCTTTTTAGTGTAAATAGATATGAAGAAATAAAAAAGCAGATTTATAAGGAAAAAATTAATAATTATAAAATTAACAAAGAAGAACTACTTAAATATAAATAAATCTTTTATCATAAAATTTAATATAACTTATAAGCTTAATTGTTTTTGATATATATGACACATAATATAAATATTTTTACAAGGCTACCCTATTTATGATATTAACAAATAAAACAGTTTGTATAACAGCTGGCAATAAAGGCCTTGGAAGAGAAATAGTCAAGTTACTATTGAATAAATGTAGTAGAATAATAATTATCGATAGATCTGAACAACTTCTTAAACATGATAAAATAACTTATATTAGAATAGATTTAAGTAATGAGAAACCACCTATTCAAGATGTAGATATTTTTATATCTAATCTGGGAATGTCTGTTGGTCCTAAAACAGTAGATGATATGTCCTATGAAGAGATGTGTAAAATGATACATGTAAACATTTCCTTACAAATATGGTTTTATAAAAATTTTAAGTATAAAAAGTTTGTGTTTATTAATTCTGTACTTTCTTATGTAGGGCTAGAAAAATATTCTTTTTATGCTGCCAGTAAAGCATTTATTAGAATTCTTAATCACAGTCTAATACGAGAAGGGAAGGATACACTGATTGTTTATCCTTATAAAATTGATACACCAATGTTTAAAGAAGTAAAAGATATTTATACTCTTAAAGCTGAAGATGTAGCAAAACAGGTTGTATTGGGAATAGAAAAGGATAAAAGGGAAATTTGGATACCTTGGTTTTTTAGAATATTTGTGTTTATATTTAGAATTATACCCTTCTGTGTTGAAAGTTGGATATTATCTAATGTATCTAAACTTTTTTTAAGAAAAAAGAAAGTTAATTAAATATTTTTAAATTTTACAATTTTATGCGCATAAATAGTTATAAAATATTTGAATATTTATAAACATTTAACTAATTTTGTAATTTATCATCAAAAGCAAATATATTTACATGTTAATTTATAATTTAAGAGGAAAGTACTTTAGTAAATATATTTATATAAATGTATACTTTAAGAGGAAGATACCTAACATTATGTTGTTTTAACATCTTTTAAGTTAAAAAACATTAATAATATTTAAGACTAACTAAACAAAACCTAAATTTATTATTTTTTACTTTACTGTTACATATATTACTTTCTTACAATAAAGGTAAAAAGACCTTTTCTTCTTGGCTTAAATTTCACAGCCTGTTAAATAAAATTTATATTTAAATACTTTTAAGTTGTAAAGAAAATTACAAAAGAATTTTAAATTATTTTAGAAAGTTTTATTTTAAAATTTATCAAAAAACATGTAATTAATTTTTTTGCTTATTTATGTAGTAAATTTTAGTGTAACCTAAAACTTTTTAAAATTTTGTGTATAAAATAAAAACAATCAAATTTGATTGTCAATTCTCAATAAATTACAGATTATTTCACTTTACTTCTTGAAAATTTACCGTTATATTTTATAATTAAATTCTTAAATAATATTAAATTTAACAAAATTTATAACAGTAAAATAATTTAGATTTTAATGATCTAAATTACAGATATAAATTAAGATTATAATTTATAAATTAAAAGACGTTAATAGTATATTTGCCATTCAATTATATACATTTAAAATAAATTTAATTAATTTTTAAATAATTAAGCGACTATTTAAATAATTTTTTTTCTTAATCCCAATGAATTTATTGGGTTCAATAGTTGGTATTTCAGGTGGAAATGGAGGATTAGGACTAGCCCTTGTAAAGATTCTAGTTAATATTTGTGAAGAAGTTGTGGTCGTTGATAGTTCTGACATGTGTCAAGAGCTTAGTGAACTTCCTAACGTTAGTTATGTTCGATGTGACTTGTTAAAAGAGAGACCTCAGCCTTTTACGGTTGACGTATTTATTGCTAATGTAGGGATGAGTATGGGGCCCAAGCTGGTTAAAGATGCAGAATTTAAAGAGATGTGTGAAATGATAGCACTCAACATAAGTAGTCACCTGTGGTTTTTTAAGAATGTGAAGCATAAGAAATTTGTATTTATAGATTCTGTATTAGCATTTAATGGTATGGAATATTACTCTATGTACTGTGCATGTAAAAGTTTTATACACACCTTTAATGAAGGTTTGCAACGGGAAGGACATGATACACTGATTGTGTATCCTTATAAAATTAATACTGATATGTTTAAAGAGATTAAAGATTATGGTACGTTAGATGTTAATAATGTGGCAGAAAGTGTAGTTGATGCTATAAAAACTGATAAAAAGTCTCTATTTCTACCTCGGGTATTTACGCTTACTGAGACAATTAAAGGTGCTCTGCCCAGTTTTGTAAAAAACTGGGTGCTGGACAGGATATCTAAGTATTTTTTATCTGAAGTGTTAGAAGGGGCTGCTATCGCAACAGAGGAGAAAGAAAGAGCTCCTATCACAACAGAGGAGAAAGAAAAAGCTCCTATCGCAACAGAGGAGAAAGAAAAAGCTCCTATCACAACAGAGGAGAAAAAAAAGGCTCCTATCACAACAGAGGAGAAAGAAAAAGCTCCTATCACAACAGAGGAGAAAGAAAAAGCTCCAACTTGTGCTATTAAGGAGTTTGACTAATAAATTGGTTCTTGATGATTGATTCTTAGTAGGTATAATTTTTATGTACTAATAGTTTTTATGTACCAGTAATTTTTTGCACCAATAGTTTTTTTGCACAAAAATATGTTGCATTCATTTTCTGGTAATTGTTCAATTTAAATTATAAAAAAACAAATTTTATATTTATTTGACAGTTTGTTTGTAAATTCTATTTAATTTTAAACAAACTATATAAATATTTACTATTTATGCAACTTTAATCTAAAAATGGTTGTCAAAAAATTTATTATTTTACATATGGATCTTCTACATCTACTGTGCCAAAATATCTAAACACTTTACCATATCCATCTTTAGTCTGATTTTTATAATAATCAGATGTATATATTTTATCTAAGTCTGCAGGGGATGCATTTTTATATTTATCTACTTCTTTAAAAAAGAAAGGTGGTTCTAACTCTTTATTGTACACTGCATCCCAGTTTACATTTTTGAAAAATTCGTGACTTTTAATTTGCATAAAATTAATACGCTTACTTGGATCTTTTTCTAATAATTTACAAATAAGATCCTTCGCATGACTATCTATAAAATCAGGAAATATTATATCATCTGTTAAAATTCCTTGTTTAATTGTATCATAAGAATCATTTTCAAATGGTGTATTTCCAATTAACATATGGTACAATATTATTCCTATTTGCCAAATATCTGTAGATTGTGTTATTATACCCGTTAAAATATATTCAGGCGCTGTATATTCTATAAAATCACGAACACCTCCGCGTTTTTCTAAAATGGCATTTAAAAAATCGTATTTCATTTTTATATGTCCTGCATCATTTACAAAAATATTTTTAAAAATAAAAAACCCATAGGTAAGTCTTTTACTATGTAAATATTCTACAGCTAAAATAATTTCACAAATGTAAAATTTTGCTGCTTTTTTGGTAAAAACGTTTCGTAATCTTAAAAAATCTATAAAATTCGTATTTGCAAAATCAGAAAATAAATATAAATTATCATAATCTTGAAATCCAAATAAAATATTTACTAAAAATGGGTGTCTTAATCCAATTCTTTTATAATATTCGTACTGTATTAATTTTTCTTCTTCATATTTTATAATAATAGGCTTATTCATTATTCTTAGTTCTTGTAAATTTGTTTTAACAAATTTGTTTTTAATATAAACAATAAAATTATCATAAAATATTCCACAATGTGTCTTTTTAATACATTTAACATCTTTCTTTTCTATCATTTGGGTTATAAATTATAGAAAATAAATTGTAACATATTAGAAGTTATTTTATATTTTAATGTCTTTATTTTATATTTATTTTGCGTAATTTTTTAAATGTCATAACATTTTCTTAGAATTTTTTTTAATTGAAATGTTCAAAATTCAATTCTAATTTTTGGACATGACTCACCGGCGCGTCATTGAGAATTTCTACAAATTATGCGGAATTTATTTTAAATGTTTTTATTTTGAGTTTTTGACATCAAACATGTTGATTTATATTTGAATCTGTCTAACTATTTGAATTTTAAAAATATAATTTTAAAAAAAATGTTGTTTTATATAGATAAAATTAAATAAAAAAGATACTAATACTTTTTAAATTTACTAGTTTTGTTTTGAATCAATTTAAAGTTTGACATGTACCTTATTTTTTGTCTTTTAACAAAAAAGAAAAAACTTTTTATTACTTTTCAAAATTGTTAAAAATGTCTATTTGTCTTAAAAGCTATAAAATATTGACAGCTTTTAAAAAAATTAATATAAAAAAAATATAATTAATCTAGCTTAATACACACTAAAGTATAAAATTTATAGACAATAAAGTTTTTTCATTGTATTTTAGTAAAAAAATTAAATTTATTTGGTGTTTTACATCTAAAATAATAAATTTTTAAATTGAAATTTTAACATAGTTAAGATTGTAATAGTACTTAAGTTTTATAAAAGTAACAATAAATAAATGTTAGTATCTAAAGAGTTGTCATATAAAAATATAATATTTACAAACCAGTTCTTAAATCAGCTTCATATTTCATTTTGTTAATAATAAAATTACAATAAAACAACTTTTAAAATTGTAATTTAGAACAAAAATTGACTAGCTAGTGTTAATAACTAAGTACAAAGTTTATAACTATAAAGAATTTCTTCGTCAAATATTAATTTTAATATTGGCATGCCCTTCAAGAACTGACTAACGGTAGCCAATAAAAGAATCTTTAATCACAATAAAGTATTGGTTCTTCCAATAATTAATAAAATCCTTTTAACAATTATAAAAGCACTTAAAGAAACTTATAAATAAAATATATCCTCTATGAAAGCTTTTATTAAACACAGGTCTTTATATCTTTCATTCTTAGAATGCTGCAACATTTCACATAGACATGGCATTATACAATTTTATAAATATCTATTATCTTAACACTACTTTTTGAGTCTTTACTCTACAAGCTATTATAACATTTTGATAGTTTTATTATCAAATAATAAAAAACTGTACTTGACATAATATCTAAATAATACAAGGATGTACTCCAATTTATAAATATTTCAATTAAATTTTCAATCTAAAAAACAATTACTTTATAGTATTACTTTCTATATTTTTTTTAGCCTTCTATGATTGTAGAACTAAAAAATAAAAATATTTTTATGTCTATTCTTTCAATATTTAAGAATAAAGATAAAATAAATCTAAGCATAAATAAAGATTCAATGCTCTTAGAATCTATTGCCTTACAAAAATATTACATTAACATACCAAATACAATATTTAACACTTCTGAATCATGCAATAAATTTACTATAAATCCGAAATATTTATATGATGCTTTAATTCTTCTAGATACCAATAATTTTGAAGTAAACATTGATCAAGTTAAAGTGTACACATCTATTTCTTATATCAAAATTCCATTTACGCTAAGTATACACCACCAATATGAAGAAATATTAGACATCTATACGAAATTTGTAGTTACGAATAAGGTTATATCTATCTTTTCAAATATGACCGGCCTTGTTAAATATGAGATAGAAGATACAAAGCTATTTATAAGGAAAATTGGAAAAGAAGCAATAGAAGAAATTGAAATAAAGAAACTGTCTTTTATAGAGACGGGCGAGTTATCATTCTGCTGTAGTAATGAATGGACAGATATTGTACATCCAATACTAAATTTTGTAGATAATGTTCTGTTTTTATTTAGTGCTAATGTTTTATGCTTGCAATTTTTATTTAAAAATGAAGAAAAAATTTATTTTGAAATACAGGTACCTAGATCTCTTATTGAATAGAATACTGTTTATACATCTTTTAGTAATTATCTATAATTAGTGATTTTTTATGTCATATCTTCAAATAAAAAATTAATGATATTGCTTTCTTATAAAATTCCAATTTTTTATAATAAACATCGAAAAAGCAATGTTAGTTATTTAAAGTCAATTGAATACAAATATTTTAATAGCAAGCCATTTTACAAGTTTGTTAAGCAAAATTATATACTTTTTAATTAAATCTAGTTGTGTGGATTTTCTTGCTTTTTATTGTTTCTAAGAAGCATATAAAATACTAGTAAGACAATAGAAAAATTTATTTTGGGGTGAAGTTTTAATTAATTATTGTATTTTCTTTATTCTACAATAAATACCTGCTTATCGATTAGCTCTTCTATTTGTACTGTGCATCTTCTACATATTGACAATTTCTTTAGCTGTGTAAGACTTCTACTGCGTCTTTACATAGCTAAGCTTTACATTATCATTTTGAAATAACAATATGCCAAATTCAATTGTCAATCCCGATGTAAGTTTTATACTGCTGTGACATTTTGTTATAAACCGTTCCACGTCACCACGTATAAAATAATTTTGTTCTTGGATTTGTAGAAAGATTCTAAATGGATTACAAGCACACATATTTGCGCCCTTTTTTGAATGCTGCTGGTCTATGAGTGTCAAATAATATTATTTCGACTTCATCTATCAAAATATCTTTATTAATCTCGTCTAATAAAAATTTATCTAATTTACTATATTTCACTTTAAATATTTAAGAATAATCTTATTTACGCTTTCTAACTTGTTTGTATTTCTGTACTTTAATCCCTTCTGATCTCTTTTTTTTACCTTATTAGTTACACAATAGTAAGTGAATGACCTTAAAGGCCCTTGCTATGTCTAATTAAATAAAAAATTTAATTTAAATGAGAATACATTGTTGATTTTCGTCTCCAAGCTGCACCATTCCTTTATTTAATAAGTTTATTAGTTCATTTTCTCCAATTTGTTCTTCTAAATTAATAAAGAACCTTTGACTGTCTGTTGTTGAGTCTTCATAATCATTTTAAGTGTGTCTTCTCATATAGTCACGTGACAACACTTTATCACATTGTATAGACATGTGGTATGATAATTGACTCTTTCAGTACAATGTAAATATTTTTCTCTTTTGTCGAAAAATACATTTGTATTTTACAGAGCACTTGCGCGGTCTTCTCTGTATAATATATTTCGTAATAAGATATCTTAAATATTCCACCATTGACAAATTTAGATTCTTCCTAAGCCTGCATAATTTCGTGTGGTTAAATTTTTTCAAGATCTCATTGTAATAAAGTAATTTTATATGTCCGGCCACCAACTCGCATACACTGAGCGAGATAATTGTTTTGTATTTCATATTTTAACTTTAAAAAATATCATATCTTGACAAATGCGTAATACTCTTATTTTTTTTTTTATTTATAAGATTGTCTTCTTAAGCATTCTTTCTATACTGTGCCAAGGTTGTAGCAGCATATCGACAACTTTATATCCAACATTTCTACTTACAAATTTTAAAATAAGAATTATTAACCTAAGCAATTCACTTATTTTATCTATAACTAAAATTTCTACATTTTTTTCTAGGCATATCACGTTGTTTGACAACTCTTTTCGAAAACATAGTTTGCTAACCAATGTTCATAAAAACAATTTGGTAATTTATAAAGATACAATATGAAATTGTTTGTATTTGCATTTATTCCCTCTTGGAGCTTTATTAGTAGGGTTAAAAAATATAAAACAGCAAGCTAAAATGTAATGGATCAAAAGACGATAAGCTTTTCCTACCTGAAATTGCAGTTGAAAAAATGTCATTTATAATAGCTAACCCGCTACTTATAGATACGCTTTTCTTTATTGAATTAACAAATTTTGCAATAAAACCTCCTTCTATAAGCTCTAGAAGCTTCATAATTATATTTATAAATTTTATTTTTCAATTATTAAAATATTCTCAATGCTTTTTGTTTCACCGAATTATCTTATTTTTATTGAAATTTTCCATAAATCTCTGTTGCTTGGACCAGATAGTAAAAATCTCTGTTGTTTAATAATAAGACAGTATTGCCTAGGATCAACATCAGCAGGATTATCGCTATCTAAAATTAAAGTACTTTTAGTACATTCTAATGTATATTTAATATTTGAATGAAAAATCCTTGTCTTGTAATTCAGTCATTTATAATAACTTGTACATAAAACTCTTCAAAAAATGATAACCATAAATCTTTTGTGCATGCATTAGAATAAAATAATTTAATGTTAGGTATAATTTCTTCTTTATACAAATTAAACATTGTTCACACTCGCTTAATAATTCAGACGTTCCCTTCCAGCACCTATGTATGTCAACTCTTGTACTCCTGAATTAATTTCTCCAGTTTCAACTCCTCTCCGAGCTTTCATGGTCATACTTTCTTAAGTCATCTTTAGAACTCTGGACTGAACATTAGCCGCAATTTGTTTGTCGATATTAACTTTTTCCTGTATTGCTATAAGTCGTTACAATACCTTATTAAGTCATCGCATATGAGACTAATTTTGTTTTATAGTCATATAGGGCTCCACAATGATTGACTAATAAGCCATATTTGTTTCTTTTCTCGACTTCGACAGTTTTTAAATAACCAAAGATTGTAATCACACGTATTAGAATATTTAAATTTATTTAAATGATCTTTAATTCTTTTTTAAAATTCTTTTTCACCAATATAACCTTCTAACATTCTTATTATAGATACTTCCTTTAGAATAAGAAATAGTATAAAAAATCCGACTTATATCAACAAGCTTATTAACTGTTTCAGCTATAAGATTAAAATTTTTAAGAAAATCATGTCGCATTCCAGATTCAATATCTGCCATAATAAATTCAGGCCATACATTCCAGTTAATAATTTCTTTAGGAATATTATTTATGGCTAGACATGATACCCATGTAGAAAACCCTTCATTAAGCCACAAATCATTCCACCATTTCATTGTCACCAATTAACCAAACCACACATGGCCAATTCATGGCATACTGTCTCTGCTATTCTTTTCCTAGGTCTTTGACTGCTAATATTTTTATCATATAATAATGATATTTTCCTAAAAGTGACTAGTCCCCAATTTTCCATTGTCCTACTAATAAATATAGGAATTGTAACAAAATCAAGTTTTGGAAGAGGATAGTTTGTTTCAAAATATTTTTCAATAAAATCAAGGCAGTAATTGTTATTTTACCTGAATATTCTTTTTTGTTTATCCTTGTGCATAAACACTTATAAAATGCCTCTTTTAGTTTTTGTTTCATAAGTTTCCAATTTACCAGAAATGTATGCTACAATATAAGTAGACATTTTAGGTAAAGTATAAAAAATATAAAAGTCGTTTTTTACTTTTTTAATCTAGAACTACTCAATGCATTATGTCTTTCTAATAGTTTGATAACTACATCAAAACCAACTTTCATATTAGTCCAGTCTTAGCAAAAAAACGCCTTTTTTGCATTAAAGGACTCAAAATCTGTATAAAACAAATTATCTCCATTATATTTTGATTTATGAAATCTTAATATATCATAAAAGTCTATTTTTAAGTTTTAACCCCCAAAAAGTTATTTTCTGTACTAGTTTCACCTTATTCAATTTTTACAAGGCATAACATTTTTATGAATTAATCGGAATCCTCTTTTTAGAATCATTTACCCCCAGTCTAACTTTAAGCAAATCAAGAAAATATAAATTGTGTTGACTAGTACTTTCAAAAGCTATTAAGTCTATCTTTACATCCTTCTATAATAATCCTTTTTATTACACTTTTTAAATTGCAATGTTCAGGTTTTACATTGTAGTCAAGAACTTCTTTCATGCAAAGATAAAAAAATTATATTTATATTTTATGTAAAAATTTAGAAACAAACCCATGAATGAAGCAAAATTCCAAGAATCTAAAAATTGCCTTAAAAATACTTTAAAAATCCTAAAAAAAATATTAGAATCAGTAGAAGATAATAATGTAGACATTAGTTCAATTAATGATCTTAAGATTTTGCTAAATAAAGTAAAAAATAATTGTGAGTAAATTAAAATGTATTTCAAGAATTTATTATATTGTAACAAGTTTTGTGTTTCGAAGTTATAAACATAAATTTTATTATAAACATGAAGAAATCTTTTATCTACATATTTAGTATATCTGTCTCTTATTTAATAATTTCTTTATCGACAACAGTTCTAAACAAGTATATTCTCACAATCCTTAATTTTCAAGTTCCATTCCTTCTAGTTGTAATGCAGTCATTTTTTATCTGCAGTATTTTGTTATCTCTAAAATATTGTGGTATGTGTAGACTATGTATAAATAACTATAAAATGTGGTTAATTCCTTCTGTATTTCTTTGTGTAATGATATTTTCTGGCTCAAAATCTCTTCAGTACCTTGATATTTCACTTTATACCCTCGTAAAAAATAGTAGCATTTTAATAGTTGCTATAGTAGAATATTTTTTATTTAAAAGATTTATTAATTTACTAGAAATTGTATCATTTTTGTTGATGATTGCCGCATCATATATAAACTTTTTCAAAAACGAATTATATGGCAATATATGGATAATAGTGAATGTAGTAAGTACTACAATATATATTGTATCTTTGCGTCATATTATTTTACTTGAAAATAGAAATGTTGCAGAATCAATATTTTTTCCAAATTTAATTAGTTTTTTTATAATAGGAATAATATCCTATGTTAACGAAAGAAATAGCTATACTGGTATTCCTAATACTGTAATTGTATACATTATAATATCAAGCATTTGCGCATTACTTACCTCATTTACAACAGCAATGGTTTTAGCTTGCTTGTCATCCACAACATATAGTATGCTAGGAGCACTAAATAAGGTAATTATGGGATTTACAGGATTTATTTTTATAAATGAAAAGATTTGTTATTACAAAATGTTGTCACTCTTAATTGGAATGTTTGGTATTTTGTTATATACATTTAATCAAAACGTAAAGAATATTAATTTTGTAAGAAAAAAATAAAACCTTAGATATCTTTGTAATTGTTTAAAAAAATATTTAAATTTTTTTTTTGTGTCTAAGGATGATGTTGAGTATAATAAGTTGTCTTTGATAGATAAATAAAAACAATTTAAATTATTTATTGTTTGCTTTTTATGATGAAACCCAAGTTTTTTAAGCATTTACTAACCATAAAAAAATGTTTTTAACATTTATAAAATTTTGCTTAGCAGCTTTTTTTAGAAATTATCGTGAAATTTGTACATTAAATCTACTGATTTATATTTATTGACAAAACCTCCAGTAATTTTTATCATTTAACAACTTTTTGTTTATTTCAAATCGTATACTAGTGCTAAATTTAGATTGTAGCATAATTGTACCTTTGCTTTAACTTTTTATTGCAATTTATGCAAATTTTTAAATTAAATCATAAAATTAAATTAATCTTAAAATATTTAAATATTTTTTTTTTACTTTTAAAATTAGAAATAAATATTAATTTTTTAATTTTAAAAATAAAATAAACTTTATTTGTGTATTTATGATAAATAAAATTTATGCTAATGAAGGGATTTATGTTTGGCTATTTTATAATATATCTAGTAGATTTAACTAAATTTACAATATACGGTAGTATTAATGATTTTAGGACCAGTACTAAAAAAAATGACGCAATATCAATTTTCTATCTTGCTCTATTAGAATTTAAAGCATTTATTGCCATTGCTGATTTTTATTATAGAAATGAAATTCCAGGACTTGTAGAATTAATATTAGTTAAATTAGAAGTATTTGGGTCATATATATACATTTATTTATTAAGAAAATTTTATATACCACTTTTTACATACAGCACTTCTGCTATTCTTTTAGCTTTTTATATTTTAATTTATTGGCCCGACGTGTATGAAATGGTATTACAAAATTATAGTAAAAGAATAGGTGTAGGCGTAGATATAAAAAATATTTATATTATCAGACAAATATATGCAGCAGTAAAAAGCCTAACATATACTCTTTTTATTGTAATAGTATTTTTACATACATTTTTACAAGTACAAGGATTTAAAGCAGGATTTTTAATAATGACAATACCAGTATTTTTAATAAAAGTTCTAGAAAGGGAAGAAGAAGAGGAGGAAGATTTAATTGCTAAATATATAATAATAATATTATTTATAGTATTATCACTTTATTCTATATATGAAACTATTGCTTTATCTTATAATAATAATGAAACAGAGATACAATTACTTTATTATTTAAATAGTTATCATTTCGTACTTTCAACTTTATTATCAATTACTGACAGATTTACTTATAAAAAAGGTCTAAAAGAAGCACTAAATAAAATAAAAGTAAAAGAACAAAGAGAAATATAAACCAATTTATGTATTATTAGATTTACTTTTATAAAAATAGTTACTATTTATTAAATGTTTTTAACTTTATAATTAATTTATTTTAATCTACAAAACATTAACAAAATCAGATGAATTTGTTTGTAAAAAAGGATTTAAATAAGAGATTGTTAAGTAAAAAATTATTATAAATTTTTAAAACCATTTATTTATCAGCTATAGACAAAAGTAAAGTTTCTATCTCTTTATCATTAAGATATTTAAGTATTTCATTATTCTTTAGATAAGCCACTTCAATTTCATGATAAACTGAATTTTCTCCCAAGCTCTCCAGTAAAGCACCTACAGCCAGCTCAAACAATTTATTATCATCCACATCTTCATTATAATGCTTCTCAACATATTTAAACATGTTCTGATATTTAGTACCTACCATAGAACCATAAACAGGATAACACACTGCAGAAATATTTGTCATGTATATAATAGGCTTACCATTATCAAAGCCAAAAAGAGTACCAGCAAAAGCAGGGCTTCTTTCACCGGTAGATTGCATTAATACCTGTAAGTTATCTGCAAGTTGTCTACAAAGAATATCTGGTGTAACAGAATATCCTAACTTATAAGATGCCTTGTATGCAAGATCTTTGCATTTAGAATTGACAGTATATACATCAGGCCAGTTACCGGTAAAAGCTGAATATATGTTAGAATAGATAGGTTGAAAACTTGTCTGGACTTCATCTTCTAGCAAATCTCCTTGATTCTTTTTAGCTGCACACACAATAGTATTTTTATTTTTTAGTACAACTAAAGGAAGGGATTTATTAACTGCCTCTAGGCCATATTCAATTTGTAATATTTTACCATCTGTATTAAAGATATTGTATACATCTTCTCTAAGGCTCATTAAGGGGTAAATATATACAAAAAAGAAGAATAGTATTGAAAGTCTAGCTAACATATAATTTATAGAAAAAATTTACAACAAATATCTACTTTGTTAAAACAATAATATTAGAATACTTATTACTAAATGGGAAAACACATTGTATAACTAATTATACTAATAATAAATTTATATGTTATTTAAATTTAACATAAAAGATTACCCTGGCATTATTTTAAAACTGCCAGTACACTTTATTCTAAATTTCACACAGGAATAATTTTAGCATAAAGAAATGTCTAATTTTTTAACAAGTAGCAGTTTGATATTTAACTTCTTCTATAAAAAATTAGAAAAAGAAATTTGTTTAATTTTAAATATTTATAAAATAATAGTAAAATTAAAATATTAATTAAATAAAAAATATAATTTTTATAATGTTTATTCACGATGCAATATACTACACTAAACAAACTTGCTAAATCTGAATAAGAAAATAAAAATGTGCATATTTAATTTTGTAAATTTTGTAGTTGTCATGCATGTAGACAATAAACAAGTAGCAAGAAAATTAAACTATAATAAAATTATTTTTACATGTGTTTATTATTCTAGAATACTTCTATGACAATTTACCAATTTTAATATACCAATTGTGTTATAATTAAATATTTTGAGACTAGTTATAAATAAATTCTCTAAAATATTTTTACTCCTTAAATTATGCATTAGAATACCAATAATTGCAAATTAGCAAAGTAATTTAGAGATTTAATAAAAATTTATTTAATAAGCGAAATTTTAATTTTATAAATTCAAGAAAACAAAGTTGTTAATTTGACAAAGGGTTAAAAAATCAAATCTTTAAAATGTCATTCAAATACAAATGTTTGATTACAATTATAATTTTTATGCAAAATTTTTATTTTTTAGTACTTAAATAAGACTTATAAATTTATTTAATTAAATTCAAAAAAATATTTTTTTTTGTTTTAAAACAACAATTAGCAAAAAATATGTAAACTTTTTTATAAAAAATTCTCCTTTTTTTTTATTTATATATTTTTTTATGTGACCCCAAAAAATGTCAGTAGACAATTCGAAAGTTCTACAAAATAACGAAAACTCTGCTCTTCCTACAGAAGATGAAATTGAGTATGAGGCCAGCAATGGTTCTGGTATATATTCACTTATTAGAGTAGCAAAGGTTGAGAGAAAGATGTTTTGGATCATGGCAGCTATGTTCTTTATTATCTCCTTTATTTATTCGGTGGCTAGAGTGCTTAAAGATGCCGCTGTTATTGGTAAACAACTCCCAGCGTCAATTTTCTTTTTGAAATTTGTTATTATCCTTCCGTTCTCATTTATTTCAGTAGGTATTATTCAGAAAGCTTTAGATAAATATCCTTTTACAAAAATATTTGATGTAACTTTAATAGTTTTCGCTGTTGCATTTACTATACTTGGTAGTTTATTACTTCCCTTTAGTGATTATATTCAGATTCAACCGTTTTGGGCCAAAGATATTTTTGCTGATGGAAAAGCTGTTGCCAGAAGTACAGATTTTTTATTTTCTATTGCACTTGTTTTCAATGAATGGACAAGTTCTGCTATCTATGTTTTATCTGAAATGTTTGGTAGTTTGATTCTTTCATATTTATTTATGACGTTTGCTAATGGTCTTTCGACTCCTGGACAGTCCGCTAGATTTGTCCCTTTATTTTATGTTGGATCTAATTTGGCTTTACTTCTTTCAGGAATGATAAATTACTTTTATAGTGTAAGTAAATCTAAAATGTCGTATGTTGCGGCCGAAAGATTTTTTAATGGATTTTTTTGTCTGAGTGGAATTCTCTGTGCTGTAATTTATCTTCTAAAAAAATATTTAGAAAATAATGTTACTAGCAAACCAATGTTTGTTAGAAAGACTTTTACTAAAAAGAAGAGTAAAGTGAAGGTTGGATTTGTTGATGGACTTATTGAGATGAGTAAATCTAAACTACTGTTGAATATGTCATTAGTCGTATTATTTTATGCTGTTTCTACGAATATTATTGAGTCAGCTTATAAATCTGCTTTAGCTGTCGGTGCTAATGAAACTGGTGAGGCAAAATCTACCTATGCTTCAATTTATACATCAATTGAACAATCTGGAGTTGCTGTCATTGTCATGATTTTGCTACTTACCCCTTTTCCAAGGCTTATTAAAACAAAAGGATGGATTACAATAGCCATTCTATGTCCTATTATTACTTTTTTTTCTGCTTTTGGTACTTTTGTATTAGCTTATTTAAACTTCCCAATTACAAACAAAGAGGATAATATATTTGATATTTACCGTTTACCGTCAACTGATTCTATAATCAAATTAGAAAATATTGTTGGTGTCATTTGTGTATCTTTAATGAAGATTTCTAAATATGCAGCATTTGATATCACAAAAGAGGCTTTGTCTATGCAGATTGATGGTTCTATAAGAGCGAAATACAAAGGTATTTTTGATGGTGTATTTGGTAAGCTGGGGAAATCTTTTGGATCAGTTTATGGATTTACAATTACTACATTATTAGGAACAAGAGATGTTCGTAGAGGTGCTCCTATATCGCTTTGTGTTCTAATATTGTTCTGCCTTATATGGTTTTATTCTGTTTTCTATCTCAATAGAAAATATAAAGAATCTGTCGAGAATAATGCACCAATTGATATTGATTTATTCACTAGTTCAAAAGTCAAGGCACCTTCTTCTGAACCTACTGTTGCTACCAAAAGTGTTACTACAGAAGAATAAATAATTAATTTTTATTTACCTTTTTAAAATATAATGAATTTATAAGATGCAGTGTTTTAAAGCAAATTAAAATAAGGTTTGTTATTATTACATTTCTTATATTTAAATTTACTCATTGTGCTTATCTTTTTTCAAAACAACAATGAATAATTTTTATGTAATTTACTTTATTAACCAAGATTTGTAATTTACGTTATAAACCAAGATTTTGAATGGTCTTTTATTTATAATTATTAAAAGTTCATTAACTTCTTGAGTTATGTTGTTCTGTACATTCACTTAATATGAGAGATGGTCTTTAAGTAGACCGAGGATTCTGTATCCTTAGAGAGCGCTCTTTTCTCCTATAAGCAAGGCCGTAAAGGTATGCTGGCGTGTAAGTGCAATATTGATGTTTTATTTTTACAGTGGAATTTTTGATGGCTTGGTGGTTTTCTTTTTTTGCTGTTTCTCATTTTTTAACAATAAACTTTCTATTTTATTTTTACAAGAAAAAACATCAACTTTAAAAATAAATAAAAAAGAACGAAAATTTATGGGGAAATATTTTTTAAAAATTTTACTTTTATAAATTAAATATAAACAATATTTAAATCAATATATAAGAAGAAAGAATATAAAAATAAATTATTTAATTGCTTTCTCTCAGCAATTTTTCAACATATAAAATTTCCTTCTTCGTTTCTTCTTTGTAATTAACTTCTCTTATTTCACTAATATTATGTCTCATCTTAATTTCATCATTGTAATTATCTTGTCTAGATCTAAGCTTGATGATATATTCTCTGTACAAAAATTTTTTAATAAACATTTGAGACTGATTTGGATCATTATCAGCCATCTCTCTAAAATCTGAAGCAGACATTCCTAAAAGTAATATCGCCTGATCATTAAATAAAGTAGCCCACAATTGTCCAGTAGAGTCACTAATATTAGCATGTATAAGATATCTATGTGTACACTCATAAGAATTTTTGTCACATTTCTCACATCTATATTCACCAAATTCATTTTTATAAACCTTTTTCGTACAATTTTCTTCTTTGCAAGAGTCATACATAAGATTATCTTCTTTAATAAACATTAAGGTAGCACGTACAGCCGAATAAGGCATTTCTTGATTTTTTACATCACTAATATTAAAAATTTTAAGATCTCGTTCAGGCAAGTCTATTTTAACATTTTTACCTTCGGTGTTATACCAACCCAACAAAGAATGAGATTCTGAAATATCTGGATTCTTATGAATTTGCGAGGTATGAATTGATGACAGACTTACTCCTCCAAAATCAGACACTTTAATACTCTTTATCGCTAAGACAGAATCAACTTCAATTTCTTCCTCGGCTTTTGCTCCCCAAAAAGTAGCTCTAATACTTCCCGTTTCATCGATCAAAGTAATATTTCTACGTAATGACTCTTTTTGTGTAGCTTTAACAATAAAAGAAACTGCTTCACCAGCTTCTTTAACTATACCAACAATATCAATAGGCGCATTACTTGATGTAATATCTTTAATTTTTACAAAATTAAAAAAGAACTTTGGTGTCTCGTTATCTTCAACCTTTTTTATTTCAGAGTTAACATCAAGTTGTATTTCATAATCATTGTTATTATTCGAAAATGTTTTTTTAGACATTTTTATTTCTCCTTTCTGGATAGTATAAACCCGACCTATCTCGATAATTGGATAAAAAATATCCACTGATTCTGAAAAAGCAACTACTTTTATTTGTCCAGAATCGTCCGCAATTTCAAAACTAAAAAGCTTTCCTTCGCCTTTTTTATTCGAAAATTTTCTGATATCACTTTTAAGAACAATTCTCCCTTTTATAATCCATTTGTTACAAAAAGGGTTAATTGAATTTATTTGTGTATACTTATTTGGATCTTCTGTTTGCTTATTTTCAACTGATTTAGCTACCTTACTTTTTTTAGGTGTCTCATCTTCATTAACTTTTTGCTTATTAGTGTCAGTACGATTCGATCCATCCGAATATATAGGCGTTGGGTTACCAATTTCTACATTACAATTTTCGTAACCTGCAAGTGAATAAATGTAAATGTATGCATTTCCCTTAATAAGTCTAAAAATAAAACTATCAAGTTTAACTAAAGAATATTTTTCGATCTGATTTGTCTCAAGGAGAGGTGTCAATTCTGAACCAAAAACTGCTCTTATATAATGTAAACCATCAGATAAATAAGCTCTGTATCTAAGTTTTTCACCTTCTTTATGATTTACTTTTTGACACATAAGTACTTGTAAAACAGGCTTATTAAAAAGTGGATGTTCATTTTGATTATTAAACAAAACTTCTACTGTTCCTTCTTCCAATTTCATGGGTTGCATAAAATGTAGAAAATATTTATAAGAATTTTTGATTTTAAAGTAATGCGAAAAAACAAATTTATTTGTAAGTAAGCTGTATTTAAAATTTTATTTATAAAAATATCTTATTTTTAGATAAAAAGTTAAATGTATTTTTATAGTGCTATGTGTTTGAAGAACTAAAAGTAACAAAATATATTAATTTTTTTATAGAAACGTAAACAAAACTTCTGTAAATATAAAAAATAAATTAAATTTAATTAAACTATAGTAGAATCAATAGTAATTATTGTAGCCGCAACATCAAATGCGGTTTTTATAATGTTAATTTTGGTTTGCAAAGGCTCAAAAACTGCTTGTTTTTGCATATCTGTCACACCTCTAATGCCCAATCCTGAAGTATATTTTTCGTTCTTAAAACTTTTTCTTAAAAGTGGGATTGTTAATGTGGTATCCAAACCAAAGTTATTTGCCAAAACAAAGGGTATCTTTTCAAAGCTCTGAGATATTGCCTTGCAAATAAAATACTTTTTATCTTTGTATTTCACAGAAATTTCTTTTAAAAATTTAGAAAGTCTCATTTCAACAGATCCACCACCAGTAACAACTTCTTTGTGCTTAATAGCAACCTTAATAACATTAAGTGCATCATTAACACTTCTTTCTACCTCATTCAATACTTCAATACCAGGCCCTCTCAATATCAAAGTACAAGCATTAGCATTCTTTCCTTCAAAATAATTAAACCTTTCTTTGCCAATTTGGCGTTCTTCAAATACAGCGCATGTACCTAAACAATTGTTTAAATAATTAGTACTACTTACTATAACTCCGCCAAATGCACTTGTAACACGCAAAAGATCGTCTTTAGATACGCGTCCTGCACAAAAAATATTATTTTTTGCAAAATATTGTGTAGCATAATCTCCTATTGGTAAAGAGCTTAAAACAACATTTGCTCCAGATTCAATAATCGAATCTAATTTTTCTTTTATCAAATTCCATTCAGTATTAACAACCTTTTTATATTCATTAATGCTTTCAATTTTCATTTCTGCATTTTCTCGTTCGGCTTTCCATTCAAGCTCAACATTAATACAACAAATTTTAGGATTCAAAATTTTCTTAGGTTGTTGTTCATATCCAGCATATGTAAAACATTTTTCAAAAGCTATACCATTAACAAGAACAGAATCAGAAATACTTCCACCCGGAATTTTATTAATGCCTATCATTTTTAAATCACCATTAACATTTTGTACAGCACTAAGAATCATTTTTGAAAACTGTTTTTTCACGTTTCTAATGTTCTTAGAATTAATAGAAGTCTCTGCTAAGCTAAGAAGAAGATCATCAGAAAATTCAATTTTATAATGTTCTAGTTCTTTAAGACAGAGATTCTTTATTTTATGTAACTCTTCATAAATTTCATCAAGTGGTAAACCTTCTTTAATTAATGGTTTAAGCATATTTAAAATGGCAGCTGCTTGTATAACTACACTTGTAGTACCATCTCCTATTTCATTATCTTGTGATTCTGACATTTTAACAAAAAAGTCCCCAACGGGATGTACAATATTTAACTTTTTTAGAATAGTAGCACCATCATTTGTAATAAGAAAATTCTCACCTGTAAATAATTTATCCATGCCATAAGGTCCCAATGTAGGTTCTAAAATTTCAGATATTTTTACACATGTATCAATGTTTGAGATAACTTGTAGTTTGCCTTCTCGTGGATCTTGAATTTTTTCAGTTTCTATGAAAAGCTGATTCATTAAAAGGGGTAGTATGAAAAAAAAAGATGTAACATTTACCATGGAAAATAAAACAATAAACTCTTCAAAAAATGATACAAATAAACAAAATAATTTTTCGGATAATTTTCAACCAATTTTTAGAATTTCAAGAGAGGAACTTGATAGCCCTGAAGATTTACCATTTTCATTTTCTGAATTCATACGGAAGAACGTGAATCAATAAAATCAATTTATTATTTTACAATATTTATAGACGATTTTAAAATTAAAAGTAGTTGTATTTGTAATTAAATACAATTCAGAAATGTAATAAATAAGATGTTAATTTATATCAATTTATATTTAATAAAATATGTCATTTGCATAATTATATTCTTATTGTTTTTTAAAGGCTCTTTATTACAAAAAACCATTTCACGCTATGCGCACTACTATGTCTTAAAAAGGAAGTTTACGTTTAAAAATGTTTTTGTATTTAATGTCAAGATTTCAAAAATTATTTTTTAAAATTTAAAATTTTAAAGCCCTTATGAATCCCGAAATCAAAGAAATTTTTATCAATACATTAAACCCAGATATTAACATTAGAACAAAATCTGAGGTAAGATTAGCACAACTACAAAAAGATTATAAATTTCTTACGTCCTTACCAACCACTTTAATGAAGGATTCTAACATAATTGTAAAAAAAACATCTTCTATTTATTTTAAGAGTTCAGTAATAAGTGAGTGGTCAAATCAAGAATTTGAATCATCTAAAAACTTTATTATTAGTAATCTTATTGATTTTTATATTTCAGCAGATGAAATTAATAATGTTTCTTACAATAAGATCTTAGTACATTTTTTTGATTATGAGTCGCCCCAGGTTGTACAAGAATTTCTTTCTAAAGTTTCTGATATGATTAAGTCGAATGAATTATTACGCTTTTCTATTGCTTTAAATATAATAGGACATATTTTTTATGGCAAAAAAATTATTTATAATCTAGAAGACATTTTAAATTTAATTTACGAAAAATCTGGCGAAGAATTAGTTTCCACTTTATATCCATTTGTTTCTAAAAATGATTTTAAAACAGCAAAAGAAATTATGAAATTTATTTCGAAATCTTATAACTATTATTCTGTTCCAAATTTTTTACAGCGATTAGATGTTTTTTCTTATGTCATTAATTTTAGTACTGAAATCTTAAAGATGCAAAATAATTCCGATAAATACTTTATGAAAATGAAAAAGTGGGTTTCACATTTTCTTTATAAAGCATGTAATAAAGGCATTAAAAAGTTTTATAAAAATGAAAAGCTTTCAAAATTTATTACAGAACCACAAAGATTTACGTATATTTATGAAGTGTTTTTGGCGCAATTAATGGTAGATAATCTCGGTTACAAATCTGAACCTATTGAATTAAATACAGTATGTTTTTTGACCCTTTGTGCATCAGATAAAGATACTTATAAATATATGAGTAAAGATCTTATTTTTATTATTACAGAATATATTTTGGCTGTACATGAATTTGATGATAATGAAGAAAATTGTTTCGAAAATGACCCAGAAAGGTATATAAGACAAAAATATCATTACCTTGAATGTGATCTTAGAAATGAATGCGGTTCACTTTTTAGTGAAATTATAAAATCTTTAAAACATAATGGTGCAGCGATGGATTGGCTTTTTCAGTTTTTTATTCATATTTTGGAAGATGCAAAAAATAATCCTACAGAAAAAAATCATAAAAGAAGCTATGGAGTTTATTTTTTAATGAGTCATGTTTCTCATACATTATTTAAAGCATCAAAAGCATTATTTGAAAATATTTTATTTAATTATGTTTTTTATGATTTAAAGTATGGCATTCCTATTTTAAAATCGCAGGCCTGTTATTTTTTGTCATCTGTAGAAGAAAAAGTAACTTTAAATCAGAATGTTTTAGATGCAATATCTAATGTTATGACAATAGTCAGAGGAAGGCATCCTATATTGAGTGTAGACTCAACATTGGCAATGAATTTTTTTATTAGCAATAAAGAATTGGCAAATTATGTCATAAATTATATAGGTGAACTTGTCGAAAGTATATTAACGTTAAGTAAAAGTTATGACATTGAGCCTTTGACATATCTTTTAGATAATATTATGCAGTCCTTTACAGACGAAGTAACTTTTTTTGCACCAAAATTGGTTAGTTCGATGGGTAATCTTATAAAATCACATTTAGCTGATGAACAGACGGAATCGGAAAATAGAATTATGGTAATTTCAGGATTTTTTCGTAATGTAGAAACTGTTATTAGTACAGAAAATCTTCCTGCCCAGTTAACATTTGATTTGTTTAAAAATTTTTACGATGTTTTAGAGCTCGTTTTACTTGAAAATCAAGAAGATTATTATCAGGAAGTATTAGACATCATTAATTGCTTTTTTTATTCTATTACTACTTTTGATGATTCTATGGAAAAGTTGTTGTGTTTAATTCTTAATCTTGATACTAAAGATATTATTTTGCCGTATTCTCAAGAAATATCAGAAATTATTGATAATGCAATTTGTAATGGCAAGGAAAAGTTACTAAACCAATTTTTTATTGATAAATTTTTTACAATTTTTGTAAATCTTTGTGTTGCAGATGAAGAAGGTTATATTTATGATGAAAGTTTTATAACGGGCTGTAAAATTATTGAATCTTTGTTACTAAACATTGGAGAACAATTCTTTACGGCATTTCCTGATAAATTGGCTGCAATTCTTGAATTAGTAACTGAAAATCTAACAAAATTAGATGAAAGTACTTCTGCTATTATTTTTGGAATAGAATTGATAATGAATTGTTTTGTTATAAGACCGTTTGATACATATAATATTCTTAAGCTAAGAAATTTTGATGAAATGTTTTTCTTTTTAATGTGCGACAAAAGGAAACAATTCAAAAGAGTACACGATAAAAAAATTGTGATTAGATTTTTAGGTAAACTTTTTAGTATCCCACAGTCTGATATTCAAATAAGATGCGACATTAAACAAATTTCTAACTGCTTTTTTACAGTCTTTTGCAGCCTTCCTGATGCTATTGATGCAAGAAATAAACTTATGGCTAAAAGTGATAAAGAAGAAGACAATGAATTGGATGAAGAATATACAGATGGTGAATATTCAGAAGAATATAATGACTTAAAAGACGATTTTTATTTGGAAGAAGATATTTATTTTTCTTCTGTTTTAGATTATTGGGATCCATATGCTTATATTGATAACATTTTTAAATCTTCTTCTTTTAACACTAGTATTTGTGCTCTTGTAATTTCGAATATGTCCTCTGAAAAAAAAAGTGCTATCAAAAATGTGTTTGAAAATAGGTCAAGAGTACAACAAAGAGTTAAAGAATAAAATTTTTACTTTTACATTAATTTCTTTTGGATCATTAAATCTTTTAAAATAATGTTTTGCATATTGCATTTTTAACTGTGCAATGTACAAAAATGTTTATTAAATATTTATTAAATATTTAATTTTTGAGAAACAAGATTCTATAAATATTTAAATATAGTAACAGATTAGAAGAGGTAAAGATTTCTAAAAAATTAACAAATCTTAAAATAAAGTTGTTGGTTATAGGAAATTTTATGTAGATGTATTTTCGAACAAACAAAGTTCTTATAAAAAATACAAATTTAAATTTTAAGCATAATTATGCTTGATGTTTATTTTCTTGAACATTTTTATTTTTTACCCTAAAATGGAAAATTTAAATTACAAAGCTTTTAAAGAAATAATTAAGGCTGCATCTTGTCTACAAAAGAAAAGTTATTACACTGAAGATCTATCGAAAAAATCTTTTTTAGAAATGCTTTTTTTATGCAAAGAAAATAGTAACCTTCTACATTGTCTTAAATATAAAGTACTTTCAGAAGCATTTATTTCTATCAAAATATCAAAAGCTTATTTAAACAACCAAGAAAAGTTACTTCAATTTGAAAGTTGTTCTATAAAAAATCAACTGGAAGATATACATAAACGTGATGATTTAAAACTTATTGATCTAGGATATCTTATAATATTTTTTAACTCGGAGATATATCAAGGTATTCTAAATAGGTTAGATTTTGCATCATTACGACAACATCAGATTTTACATAATTTAGAAGAAATTTTTTATAATAGTTATTGTGTAGAATACATTTTATCATTGAAAAGTCCTAAAGAAATATATGAATCAGTTATTTATTACAATACCTATAATATTGAGATTCATTTAAATATTGTACACATATTAGGATATTCAGAATGCGATATTAATAAAATATTGTATTACAAAAAATTAATAAATTTAATTGTAGAGAAAAGCTTTCTTTATACAATTGATGAAAATGAGATAAATATTTTTAGAGAAAAGATTAAAAATTATGAAATCTATTTTGCATTAAAAAACATTGCAAAAAAATATTCTCTAAATGAATCTATTGCAAAGACACAAAATGTTCAATCTAATTTAGAATTTTTAGCAATAGAGTTTAAAAAACAGTTTAATTTTTGTAAGTCATTTAAAGAAAAAGTTGAAATTATGAAACAATTTTCTGTTTTTTTGTCATATTCCAAATTTTCCGAGTCTACGTCAGAAGAACGCATTACAGTTTATGACAAAATTTGTAAATTTTTAACTTTTGATAATAACAAAATATTTTATCTAAATGAATACATACAAAATATTAAAGAAATAGTAGAACTTTTTTTTAGAGAAGAATCTAATATATTCGTAAATGATTTAAAATCTAAAATTTGTGAACTTGAAATTATTTCAAAAAATAAGAAACATGATTTCTTAAAGATGTTGACACATATTCTTAATGAGAAGATGGTGTTTACAATGGAATATAAATTATATGTAAATAGAGATACAAAGTTTTTTAAATTTCTAAATTTATGCAAAAAAAATTTATACACTAAAGATACACAAGAAATTTTAGATTTTATATTAAAAACACACAAAATTTTAACGATTTTTGTTGATATGTCACATAATATCACAAACGCGGAATATGATATGTTTTACATAGAAATTGATAAAATTTTTAAAATACTTCAAAAGATTATAAATCTTAAAATTAAATATTTAATTAAAATAACTTTTATTGATGAGTTGGAATATCATGTTAAGAAGTTGTCAACTAAAATATTTAATAATAGATTAACGACATTAAAATACGAAGAAGGGAAAATTTATAATGAAAAGCAATTTTTAGAAGACAATTTAGTTATTTGTAAAAATTATCGTATAGCAAATCGATACCTTACAAATATTTTAAACAGTGCAAAATACTGCTTAAAAATTAATACAGAAGAAGAAGTGCATAATATTTTTAAAATAATATCCGATATATTTTTTAGTAGAGATTTATTTATTGATAAAGCATCAGAAATAATAGATACGCTGCTTAAGAGTGCATATGAAATATCTTGCTTTTTTAAATGTTACAAAGACAAGATTACTACAAATCTGTCTATTAGCAAAAAGATTGAAATTTATAAATCATATAAAAAAATCATAAAAAAAGGTTCAAAAATTGTAAAAATTAAAATTCCACTTATAAAGCAGTGCATTAAACAAAGATTAAAAGATTATTATGATTCTAATATAGAAAAGTGTAAAACTGATCCTTTTTTTGATATAAAAATGTCATGGCAAGTATTTAAAATTAATAAGCTTTTTTATAAAAAAAAATTAAACTACAATGTTCCAGAAATAGAAAGTAAAGTATTTATTGTTGACCATATACAGAACTTAAAAGAGAATTTTTACAAATTTTTGATGCAAAAAGACTTTGATTTTGATATAAAAAGTTTCAAGATTAGATATTTAGAATATAAAAAATCCTTAGTACGACAAATTAAGATAGAAAAGTTTGTCAATTATGTTTCTTATCAAAAAAAACCAAATAATATAGATTTATATAAAAAATCACTTAAATATTTACGCTTTATTAAATATCACTTTACAAGTACCAGCCATGTAGATAAATTACAATTTTTAATTGATAATGCATTGGATGACTATAAATTTACTTCTAAACTTGCGCTAATTAAAAAAATAAGTTTATATAAAGATTTTACAAAGAAATTTGTCAATTTTGCCGATATTTTGCATAATAATTCGGAATTAGATCTTGAGAATGTTTTGAAAAAAGCAATTTTATCTGACGATATAAATAGAAAAATAAAAAATCTCAAACTTATGATCTCAAATTTATATTATTTTGATAAAGAAAATGATTCTATTATTGATTTTGAACAAAGACATAAACTTTTTTCTGCTGGAAATTCGAATAATAAAATATTAAATGATTGCTTGGCAGATATCAACTCAATAGACATTTTACTTGAATACAAAGAGCTTTGTAATGTTATTAGAGAAGATATTAACGATCTTATCTACAAAAACAATAATATTATTCTATTGATAAAAAATATCATAAAATACGCTGACATTGAAAGTTATAATATGTTAATACAGATTTTAACAGAAAAATCTTTTAAACAACTTGTAGTAGATGAAATAATAAAACAGAACAAAAGTTATCAAGACTTAATAGAAAGCGAAATAAGTCATTTAAAAGTGTTAATCATAGATTTGTACTTTGTACCTAATAAAGATATTATTAATTTTATAAATGGAAAAATATTTATTGATGATATTTTTAAAAGTGTCTTTAATCTAGATAAAATTTTATATAGAGATAATGTGTGCATTGGATTTGAAAGTAAAAATGAAAAAATATATTTTAAAGAAAAAATAGAGCAAATTCAAAAGTATAAAACACCTGAAGATTTTAAAAATTATTTTTTATTATTTAAATCAAAACTTCAAGAAAAATTATACGAATATTTTATAAAAAGATATAAAATACTAAATGTTGACAAATTTAAGTCAAGTGCAAATAACATACCTGACAATATTTCTTTTATTGACGATTTTATTAACGAATATATGTATTTTAGTGGATTAAAATATAACAATACAATCAAAATTCAATTTTTAAAAAAGCATGAACAAAAATACAGTGATGATTTTAGACTTCTTTATCCAAAACCTGATATAGACATGCAAATAGACAAAATGTATTTATATACAAAAAGTTTACAAAAAAATATATACAATTTAATATATCATCCACCTACAAGTATTATTTATACTGAATTGACTAATACAATTTTTAATAAAATTTCGCTCAGTCTAATTTACAATTCTGGATGTATTTTGTACGGAGAAAGTAGTACAGGGAAAACCGAAACAATTAAATACTACTGTCGTTCAATAGGGAAACCATTATACGTTTTCTGTTGTAGCGAACAATTAGATATAAATTTATTACAAAATATTATTTTAGGCTGTAAAATAAATGGGTGGTATTTGTGTTTAGACGAATGCAATAGATTGAGCGATAATGTAATGAGTAAATTAAGTGATTTGATCACTGAAAATACAAATGAGATAAAATTTTTCATGACATTAAATCTTGGATATCTTGGCAGAAATAAATTACCTACAACACTTAAAGCTCTTTTTACAGAGATTCGTGTTGATGATCCCAATATTGATGATATCTTAGAAATATATTTCAGTAAAGAAATTATTAATCTTTTTAATGATTTAAAAAGAAAACATAGTGGTTTACCACATTATAATTTTTCATTAAGGGCTCTTAATACTATTCTATTTAACTTGGGTGATGACAATAGTACCACAAATTTACTTACATATTATTATGCAATATTTAACACCAAAGATAAGCTTCTTTTAAAAAGCTTTATTACTAATTTATCGCATTATGACCTTTTTGAATTTGGAACTTCTAATAGTACTGGAATATTATTATACGGCCAAAGTCTTACAGGCAAGTCAACATTACTAAAAGAAATGATAAAAAAACGAAATGTCAACTTTCATTTTTTTCATAAATTTGACGAAAAAATTCTTTACGATGTAATAAAAGAAAATCAGGATTCAGAGTTATGGATTATTTATGATATGATACTAGATAGTAAATGGATTGAAAATTTGAATTCTGTTTTAGATGATAACAAAACATTGTGCATGAAAAATGGAGAACTTCTGAAAATAGGACCAAATATAAAATTTATATTTGAAACTAATGATATCTCAAAAATTACACCTGCCACACTTACACGTGTTTTTACAATTTATTTTGAACATACAGATAACTATAAGCAGATTAGTAAATATACCAATATAGATTTATCAAACAAAAATATAGAATACTCTTCTATTATTCAAAATGTACGAAATTTAATTTATACATCGCAGAAAAATAATGTTATATTTTTACAAGGTGAAATGGGAATTGGTAAAAGAAACTTTTTTAATAACTTAATTGGTAAAAATAGTAAAGTTTTAAATTTAAATTGCCGAGAAATACATTCTTTAAAATTTTTTGAGCATAAAAACATTTATTTAGAAGAATATGAAAAAGCGAGTGAACAATTAAAACAAGAAATTAAAGAACTGTATGAATTTGGCACAATTCAAGATAAAAAACAGACAATGAAGCTGTTTATTAGCTATAATGGCACAGATGATTTACAAAAGACAAATTATAAGGCTAGAATTAATTGTAACATACTTTTTATTAAAAGTAGAGACAATAGATATTTTAATTTAAAAGAAAATAAAATTTTAGAATTTAATATTAATAAAACTGAAGAGGTAACTGATTCACTTAGAAATTTACAGGTAACTGGAAAATACGAAGAAAAGTATATTCCACAAGAGATTTATGAATTGTACAAATCAGGAAAAATAAAATATTTTGAATGTTTTAAAATAATGGCGTGTACCTCATTGACGGAATGTTTTGTAGATTTTTTTACACAAGACATTAATTCTTTGTGCTTGAATAAAGCAATAAAGTTTTTTGTGGATTGTAAATTAAATTTTATATTGCTAGGGGATCGTTTATCAGGTAAAAATTGGTTACTTAAAGATTATAAACTTAATATTATTCAAGTTTTTAAACAGACTTGTGATATTATTTATCCTCCAAACACAGTAACTGCAATTTTAACAAATTCATTAGATTTGCTTAGTAACAAAATTATAAAAGAAAACTTTACGATAAAATTATATTCTTGTACAAAATTTATAATTGATTTTGATGAATTTATAAAAAATATTGATATTTTATCCGATAATTGTCAGAATATTTTAAAGTATAATTTTATTAAAAATATAACTTTAAAGCCATGTAAATGTTGTATACAAAACGAAAAAGAAATATTAAATGTAATGACAATCGATGATATAAAATTTAAACGAGAAAACATGACATATAAAATGATAAGCTCTAATCTTAAAATTAGTGATAAATATGGTACTAATTTATTGTCATTTCCTAATATGTTTAAATTAATGGACTTTATAAATACTGCTGTTAAAACATTTAAAGAACTTACAAAGTTTAACAAATTTTTATTGGATGGCCAAAAGAAAATTCAAAATTTTCATGCAATTTCTCATGAAAAAAAAGAAACTTTGAAAAATAATAATATTTTAAGAAAAAAATACCATAATGAATTAAATGATAAAATTATTAATATAAAAAAAATTGAAGAGGAAATAAACACAGAAAAGAAATTTTTAGAAAATAAAAAGCAAGAGAATTTAAATTTTTATAATCAAATCAAACAAAAGCAAGAATATGTTAAAAAACGGCTTAATGAAGGAGAATCTAAATTAAAAGAAAGCGCAAACAAGATTAACATGATCACTAAGAAAAATATAGCAGAATTAAGGAGCATGAACAATCCACCAAAGACAGTTCATTATGTTATTAATATTTTGTTTAATTTAATTACAAGTGAGAAAGAACTTGATTTATCAAATAATTTTAAAAAAAAATCGTGGTCAGAACTTTTGGTTTTTCTCAAATCTTTTGATTTAAATTCATTGATTGACGCATCAACAGCAAATATTTTAGATATAAATATTTTAGTAGACAAAGAAAAAGAAATTAAGAAGTCATCACAGGTTTGTTCTATAATTTATGAATGGATTATTAATAAACACGAATATAAACTTATTAAAGAGGAATTACAGCCTTTAGAAGATGAAATAAGTAAGTTGCTTGACGATGGAAAAATTGCTTTGAATGTTATAAAGGAAAATGAAATAAAACTAGAAATATTAGAAAATAATCTAACTAAGTATAATAGTGAATGCAAGGAATTAAATAAAGAGTATGAAGAAACAAAACAAGAAATGCTTTTTTTAAAAAAGGAAATTGAAAAATATGATTTATTGATTTCTAAAATTGAAGAGGAAAAAAATAATTGGATTATTAAAGAGTTTACCTTAGATTTGATTTATGATAATTTATTTGATAATAAGGTTATATTATCCAAACAATACACTGATGCTAATTATTTAAATACAAATGTAAAGGATATTAATTTTAAGAAGATTATAAGTAATATATACAAATTTAAAAGAAATATTATTATTTCTGATGCAATAAATGATGAGGAAATATATAAATTGTGTAAATTTCAAACAGAATCTAAAGATTTTAATATTGTTTTATTAAATTCTACATCCAGTTTGTATGAGTGCATAGGATACAAACTAGAAAAAATTGAACAATTTACAGTTAAAAGTACTGTAGACATAAAAAATATGCAAAATACTTTATTAAAAAGTATAGTAAATGGAGATATATTAGAGATTATTGAATCTAAAAATATTTTAGATCAAGCTAGAGAAGAATTGAAAAAATTAGAAAATTTAAGAGAATTTTATGAAAAACTTAATAATGTTTACAAAATTTTATATAAAAAATATCAATTATCATTCAAAGTTTATAATGATTTTCTTGTAAAAAACAATTTTATGCAAGACAGTAATTTATCTGAAAACAAATTGTTAGAAAAATCAGAAAAATTTTGTTTGTATTTTGATATTAATGATATTTTTAAATATGATACTAATATTTTGATAATAACTAATACAGAAGATTATGTTTATTACTTAGAAAAAAATATTTTTTTTAAAAAGATAATAAGCATTGGGGATAAAAATCATAATTACATTTATAAAAAATTACTTGATTCAGGCAATGATTTATACCTTATAAAAAATATAGATCTATTTGATGACGCAATCGAAGATAAATCTAATAATAAATTTATTTATATTAGTGAATATAACAGAAGTAAAAATATGTTAAAAGATTGTAGAGTGTTAAATTTTAAATATAAATTTGATTATGAAAGAAGTCTTAATTTTTATAAAAAAATTTTTACAAATGAAAATGAAGATTTAATTATTTTTCACTGTCAATTGATAAAAAAAATTTATGAGCATAATCTAGAAAAGAAATATACATTTACTGTGAAAGATCTTGATTTTGTCATAAAACATAAAAATAACATATCTTTTGAGTATTTAAAATATCTAGTTTACATTAATAAGATAGACAAATGTGATTATGAATTGTTATTTTTAATATTAAGAGAAAAAAGGTGATACACAAAAATATTTCTTTTTAATCCCTTTATATGGTAAAGGAAAAAATAGCTTATGGTTTTGTATTGTTAATTTTAATACTTCATCACTATAAATATTTTATTAGAGATATAATATTACAAGGTATTTCTAATTACAAATTAGAAACATTAATTTTACATGGAATATATCCCATGGATAAAGAAATAGACAATGAATACGCCAATTTGTTAATAAGTAATCAAAAAATATTTCGTGTTTATAATTTATCAATGATTTTATCTTTAATGATGCCTGTTATTGTTCCATTTATAAGATTATTATAAAAATAAATCTTTCGAGTTTAATTAAAAATTTATAAGTGTTTGTTGTAAATTTAAAAAATAAACTAATATTTTATAATTAAATTTAGTGTATTTCTTAAAAACAAAAAAGACCTAAAAAGTCTACACTTCAAAAAGGCAATTAATTAAAAAATCTTTAAAATCACAAAAAATGTCGACCACAACCAAGTTTATTGTATTTTTTATTAGAACGTACCTTTTTTTATTCTTTTAGAATATTGTTTTAATACGCTTTTTAATATTATTCCATCTTCAATAAGTAAATATCCATATCTAAAAAATACTTCTTTTCTAAATTCTATATCATTTTCTAATAATAAATCATATAAAATAGACAGTAGAACTTCTTGATCTTCTACAGTAAAAAGACACTCACTTATCAAAGGAAAAAAAATAGAGGCATTAATAGTTGATGTCTCAATATCATTCTTATCAATATAATTAACTAAAAACATAGCAAACGCTTCAATAAAATCTCTATTAGAAGCATTCCAAACTATTTTAAAAAGATTTACCTGTCTTATAATACTTTCAAAATCTGTTTGTAAATCTATGCCATCTAAATAATTCACAACATCATCAAAGAAATTCCCCTTTTCAAAACTTTCCTCCTCAATTTCGAATTCCTCTTCTAAATAATGTACATTAAATTTATTATTATTTTCAAAAATAATAATTTCTTCTAAATCTTCTGAGATGTCAATGTCATCCCAAACTATACAACTTTTAAGATTTCCAGATATTTTACATCTACTACCAACTGCTGAATTTTTAATATAAAATTCTTTATCTAATTTATTATTACATCCCAATATTGTATTTTCTGTTTTATTAAAAGACAATCCTTTAGGTAAATTAAGCAAATAACTTCCTTCAAAAATTACTATATTTGTATTTTGAATGTATTGAGAAATGTCTTCTATTTTAGATTTAATAATATCTTCATTAAACTTGAAATAGTCATATAATGTTAATATTTCTTTACTATAAATTTTAGTAAAAGAGGGAAGATAATTATGTGAGGCCTCATAAAATCCAATTTTAGACTCAAAGGGATTAAAAGCCAGAATAGATTCTAAAAAGTCACACATAGAAGTAAAATCAAAATTTTCTACAAAATTTTGCACAACACCAGGAGAAATTATTGCCATGTTTGGAGAACTACCTTCAAAGTTAAATTCTACTGTTTTATATTTTTTTATGCAATTAAAAATATTTTTCATATTAAATTTATCATTTATGCATTTCTCAAAAAATACAATACATTTATCCCGCGTACCGTACAAATATCTAACTTGTGAATTAGAGAAATTTTTATGGATAAAAAAGGTAACCAAATTCTGATTTTGTTTATGTACCTCAAATAGTAGATTTATATCAAAATTGGTATAATGATTTGCATATAAAACAATAAAATCTTTAAGATCGTAACAACTATCATTTATGCTCCTTAATATTTCACCAAAATTTACTTCTCCAGAAATACACGTAAAATTAATTCTTTTTTTAAATATCTGAGATACATGTTCTGTAATTTTTTCTAAATGGTTTCCACAAAGAATAATGTTTGTAAGAGACTTGGAAATTAAAGAATTTATAATATAATCTATCAGAGGAACATTTGCAACAGGAAATAAAGCTAAATTATTTTTTAAACTAGTCATTTTTGGGGGAATCTGCTTTGTCTGATAATAATCACATACAAGTAATACTATATTGTTATTTTCTCTTATAAAGTTTTTTATTTTTTGAACCATTAAAGGGTAAATAGATTAAACCAAATAAAACCTTTAAAAATTTTTAAATATAAAAAACAATTTGTTTGTTTGTGAATAAATAAAAAGTTCGAAAAAAAGTAATTAGATATTTTTTAAATCAGTAAAAATAATTAAAATGACAATTAAAATAGAAAAATAAAGCAGTTTATAGTACTGTTTTGAAGTTAAGACAACACCAAATGTCAAATATGTCAATGATTTTATCTTACCACGTTATGGAGATTTATGAACATTTAATAAAATAAGTTTTATATTTTACGTTAATTACAGTATGAGATGCTTTTTCAAATATTTTCACAAGTAATTAAAACAGTATCTTAATAATGATTAATGAAAATTAAAAACAGATGCTACAAGATAATGCTATACTACTAGACAACCAGTTATATAAAAAGGAGTAAATTGATAGAATCAATAACAAGAAGAATAAAAATAAATATTTTGTATTTACGTGTTGTTTTTAATGTATCAAAAATAAAAAAATAATGTTATACAAAAGATTTTATAAGTCGTTTTAAATTGTATGTATTATTTTTTTTGAATGTTGTATAACCTTTTATACATCTTTTATTTTGAAACAACATGAAAGTTACTATTTATTTTATATTTTTTAACTCCTTATGGATCCAAATGATATCAAAATCGGATACAAATTATTTGTGCAAAAACCAAACACAATAGTTCAGCAAAAGGCCGAGATACTAGGTATTCGTCATAGAGAGGATGTATTAGAATTTTATGTACATTACATAGATTTGAACAGAAGACTTGATGAATGGATTCCTCATACATTTTTATGCTTAAATGACGTTACAAAAATAGAAATACCAAAAAAGAAAAAGAAAATTGAGGATGCGCAAAAAAAGTCCATAGATTTAAATAGCATTGATGATGAAAAGGAAAATGTTAAAGTCAAAGATGAAGAATATAAAATAAAAAATATTAAACAGATACAGTTTGGGAAATATCTTGTAGAACCCTGGTATTTTTCTCCCTATCCCAAGTGGATAACTGACACTGATATTGTTTATATTTGTGAAAAGTGTCTGTACTATTTTAAACATAAAGATGTTTACACTCAACATTGTACAGAATGTGAGACAGAACATCCGCCAGGACGTGAAATATACAGACACAATGGAATAAGCTTTTTTGAGATGGATGGATATACGGAACCCAGATTTTGTAGAAATCTTGCTTTACTATCCAAATTATTTTTGGATCATAAATCTTTATATTACGACATTGATGTCTTTTTATTTTATGTATTGTGTCGTATTGACGATAATGGATATACGATTGTAGGATATTTTTCTAAAGAAAAAATATCAGAAATGGGCTATAATCTGGCTTGTATTCTTACTCTGCCTTTTGAACAGAGAAAAGGCTATGGAAGAATTTTAATGGACTTTTCTTATATGCTCAGTAAAAAAGACAATTTGATAAGTGGCCCAGAAAAACCTTTGAGTGATTTAGGACTTTTGAGTTACAGAGCATATTGGTTGGATGTTATTGTAGATTTTTTAGTAGAAAATAATAACTCGTCTGTTGATGAAATATCTAAAGCAACTCACATTACTGTAGAAGATATTATAAGCACTTTGATGTATTACAATGTTTTAAAGCTTTACAAAGGAAAGTTTATTTATGCACTCAGTGATAAACTTAAAGAAAAAGCACAGAAATTTAAAACTAGAAGATTGGACGAGAAATATTTAAAATATTATTAATTTTTAATAAATTGTATGATTTCTATTTTTTTTACCGTTTTTTGATGTCTAAGAGAAAAGAAAAACTGTTAAATAAGTATTTAAATAAAAAAAGAAAACAAAGACGGCGAGATGATCTATTGGCGCAAATTGCTAGAATAGAGAATGACCGGATTCAGAAATCTAAGGATACTACAATTTTTGTTGAAAAAAATAAATCTAAATATTCTGATAAGCTTGGCGATGATAATTTGAAAGATATAGTAATTGAAGATATAAGTAGTATTGATAATATTCAACAAGAATCTAGTAAATCAGAAATAAAAACCGATCTATATTTTAATGATGTAGATACAAAAACCGATCTATATTTTAATGATGATAATTCGTTAGGAATTGTTGAAAAAGACAAAGTTATTGATAAAAAAGAAGTCGATGATAAACAAAAAGAAAAAGTTATTGATGAAAAAGAAGTTATTGATGAACAAGAAGATGAAGTTATCGATGAAAAAGAAGTTATCGATGAACAAGAAGATGAAAACGTGTCATTAGAAGACTTTTTAGGTGAATCGTCTGTCTTTGATACGATTACATGTCTTTACAGACCAGTGGAAATAGAAGAATTTAGAAAAACTCTACCAATTTACTATGAAAAAGAAGAAATTATATCTACAATAAAGAAACATTCCGTTACATTAATTAAAGGAGACACTGGTTGTGGCAAGACTACACAAATTCCTCAGTTTCTGTACGAAGGAGGATTTAAAAAAATGATAGGCGTAACGCAGCCGCGAAGAATTTCTGCGATTAGCATATCGAACAGAATAAATGAAGAATTGGGAGAGAAAAAATGTGCTTATAAAATACGATATGAATCTACAGTAGATTCTAATACATCTATTAAAATTATGACTGATGGTATACTTTTAAAAGAAATTCAAAGTGATTTTCTTTTGTCAAAATATTCTGTAATCTTACTAGACGAAATTCATGAACGTAGTTCTAATATGGATATTCTTATATCTTTATTGTCTCGTATTATAAAAATAAGGAAAGAAAGAAATAATGAACTTAAATTGGTTTTAATGAGTGCAACAATAATGATTGACGAACTAAAAGGCTTCTTTGAAAATATTGCATTATATGAAGTACCTTGTAATTCTTTTAAGGTTACTGTTTTTTACGAAGATAAAGATCCTTCTGATGTTGTGCAAGCGGCATTTGATCGAGTTAGCAAAATAATTAAAACAAAAAAAGATATTTTAAGTAATTCGGTTCTTTGTTTCTTGCCAGACAAGAGTTACATTTATCAAGTAATGGATAAATTAATTGCTCGTTTTGATGATTGTATAATTTTGCCTCTTCATTCTTCTCTATCTAAACAGGAACAATCTTTGATATATAAACATTATGACAAGAGAAAGGTGATATTATCAACAAATATTGCGGAAACAAGTATTACTATTCCTGATGTGTATTATGTAGTTGATTCTGGATTGGTAAAATGTAAATACGTGGGATCAATGAACACAATTGAATATTCTATAAAATATATCTCAAAATCTAGTGCTACTCAGCGTGCAGGAAGGGCTGGTAGAACCTGTCCAGGTATTTGTTACAGATTATATAGTGGAAATACATTTTTAAAACTTGATGATTACGATCATCCTAAAATATTTTATGAATCACTTGACGAAATAATACTTAATTTACTGTCTCTTGGAATTAATGATATTCATAAATTTCCGTTTTTAAATAGGCCTTCTGATCTTAATATTAAAAATTCGCTTAACGAATTAAAACGTATACGAATTATAGATAATGACACTAAATTGACGAAATTAGGAGAATTTATTAGTAAGTTGCCTTTGCCACCAAGAATCGCAAAACTTCTATGTATTCCTAATACAACACATATACTACCAGAATTAATTGATTTGGCTTCCTTGATGTCTATTAATATTGAACTGTCGTGCAATGCTGCCACTAAAAAATATTTTATTGCCGAAAAAAGTGACCTTATTGTTATACTTAAGGTATTTAGAGATTTTGAGCAAGCAAAACATAAAAAAGAGTTTTGCAAAAAAATAGAAATTAATTTATCGACATTTTGTGAAGCAGCGAAAATGTCAAAATTTTTAAATAATAAGTTCAACTTACGTACATCAGAAAGAAATTTATTAACAGATGATGTAAAGAATGAAATTAGAAAAATAATTTATTTAGCATATTCTGATAGAATTGCGCTGTTTGATGAATCTTCCTACTGGTATAAAAGAAATCCCATTTATGTTTCTAATTCATCAATTGATGCCGAAGGAGAATTTGTTGTGTTTGAGTATCTGTTGAAAGGAACAAAAAAAACTTATATGAAAAATATTACAATTATTGATAATCAATGGTTTAATTTATAGCTGTTTTGTAATGGTCATTAAGATTTTATTTTATAAATTTATAAAAATTTTTATTTTAATTTTTTTTTTGATTTAGGTTTTCTTTTTATTCGTTTAATGTTCTCTTCTTTAAATTCTTTCGGAAATTTTTTAAACTCTACATTTCTAAGTTCAGTCATTCCAGGTATTTTTTTAAGCATGTACAATTCAACTAAATCATCATAATCAAGTGTCGTATAATCTAAAATGTAATTAAGGGTGTGCTCTTTATAAGATCGAAAATAAGACACAAAGGCTTTAACTGACAGCTCTAATAATTCATCATCCATAAATGTTTTTAAAAAATCTAATTTATAAGAAGGTGTACAAGTGATTTCTTCTATTTCAATATTTTTAATTTTAATAAAATCTAAATATACAAGCTCATTAGGCAAAACAAAAAGTATAGATTCTCCTTCTTTTCCATTTCTAGCAGTTCTCCCACTTCTATGAACAATATTAGTATAATCTTTTGGTATATCAAAGTGGATGACAAGTTCAATATTTTTAAAATCAATTCCTCTCGCTGCAATGTCAGTACACAATAAAATATCTCCCTTTTCAAAAAAATCTTTATAAACATTAGTTCTATCTTCTTGTTTCATTTTCCGATGAATTTTATACACATTCTTTATATTAAATTTAATTAAAAATTTATAAAAGAAATCAACTTGGTTACATGTAGCAAAAAAAACAATACTTTTCTTATTTTTTATGAGATCCAGCGTAGTAAGTAGCTTATCGCTGTATTTTGTTTTAAGATAACATATTTTAAGTTTATTTGGTATTTCGCTACCTTCACTTTTAACAAAAATAGGATTTTTTAGTATCAGTTTTGATAAATTTTTTACATTTTCATTTATTGTAGCAGAAAAAAATCCACAAGATTTTGATTTTGGCAAAAAAGATACAATATTTAGTACTTTTTCTTTAAATCCCAAATCTATTAATTTATCTGCCTCATCCAATACAAGATATGATAACCTACTAAAAAGCTTAGTATTAAGTTTTATAACTTCTAATAATCTACCTGGTGTCCCTACAATAATTTTATAGTCTTTTGTTATCTCAATCAAATCATCATCAATATCTAAACCACCAATAAAACATTTAGTCGGCACATTAAACATTTTAAAAACATCAGTAATTTGCAAGGCAAGTTCTCTTGTGGGTGTAATAACTATACAAACCGAAAAATCTTTATAAAACGTAATTTGTTTTAAATAATTGTGAATAATTGGAAGAACAAAGCTAAGGGTTTTACCAGATCCCGTTTGTGATTGGACTACAACGTCTTTATTATTTAACATATGAGGAAGTGTTTTTTGTTGAACATCAGTCATATAAACATAATTATTTTTTTGTAATACTTCTTTAATAATCGTATTTAGATGTGTGTCTATAAATTTTACTGGGTCTGACATGGGATAATTTTTAAAATAATATAAAATGTACAAATCTTTTAATCACAGAAAGGGCATTAGCTTAACTTATTATAAGAATAAAATACTAAATTTAATTTATAAACTAATAAAATTACTATTAAAAAATTGAAAATTTGTAGATTTTTAAATATGCATATACGAATAAGGTATTGTACATACAAAAAATATAATTAATAGCAAACCAATAATATTAAGTAGTTTTATAAATTTTAATGAAATATAATGTTATTAATATATTATTCTTTTTTAGGCACAAATGAATTTTTATCAATATATATAACTGAGTCAACCTTTGTATAATCAACGGTATTATTTACATCTACAGAATCATTTGCATACAAAAAAGAAGAACTGACAGAAGTATTGACTACTGTTTTTGGTGAATTTGAAGTCAAATTTTCTGAAACATTAGGACAATCAGGAGGAATACAAGTTTTAGAACTTTTAAAAAGTGGACTTTCAGCATTTATATCATAAATTACGCATTCTTCTTTATCTGCAAATAAAAGTGAAGAAAACCTGTTGTGTTCTAATCCTCGTAAATTATGATCTTGTTTTTTATAAATGTTATTGGTATCTAAGAGCTGTTTAGAACTACATTCTGAATTCTGTTCTTGAGTAGAAGTATTTATTAAAGGAATGTCTTTAGACACAGAAGCTTTATTGGTATCGTCTAAAAGCACGTTCATTTTTTCTGAAATTTGTTGTTCTCCTTCAGGCATCTCATTTTTGGTAATCGAAAAATTTTCTTCTATACTTAGCACGTCGGTATTTTTTAAAAGTCCTTCTTGCAAGACCTCAAATTTATTTTTTGAATCGAACATCAAATCTACTTCAATTTTGTTACTCATGTCAAAATCAGTTAGCATATTTTGTTTGCTTTCAATTTCTTTTTGCTTTTCTTGGCAATCATTATATTTATCAGTCAATTTTTGTTGGATTGTATCATTACATTGTATTTTATTTATTTCAGAATTACTTTCTAAGATCTCGCATTTTTTACTTTCTACTGAAGAAATAATGTCGTTATTCTCTAAATTGACTTTTGTATTTATTTTATCGCCTTCTTTCATTTGATCAATTTTACTGTCGTTAATAACATAATTAACATTCTCTTCTGGTAGTAATGTTTTTTCTGAATTAATAATCGTGTAATCATGATTTAATGCTTCGACACAGCTTTCTTCAACTAATGATAAGTTTTCAACATCTTTATTCAGATCACTTAAATCTATTTTTGCATTCTCTTCTACATCAATAACTGCTTTTTCTTCTAAAACACTTCCATAAATAGTTCGATATTTACTCAAATATTTATCTAACTTCTTTGGCGTTAAATCATCTTGTGGCTCCTTCTTCGTTATAAAATTTATTTTTGGCCTAAATTCAATTGATTTACTTTTTTTCTCCATTTTCTTTAAATTAGTAATTAGTCTTACTTGTTTTTCCAATTCTCTAATTTTATTACATGGATTTATTTCTTTAATTGGCTCCAACTTTGGTATTTTTTTATATGGCGAATGTTTTGGCTCGTGATTAAAATACAAATTTTCTGTTTTTTGAACAGAAACTTCTTTTTTATCAGATTGACCCGATTCTTTATTTTGTACTGTTTTTTTATTATTTTTACATATAGATCTTATTTCAACACTTGGATCAGTCTTGGCTTTTTCGATTAAATTACTCAATTTTTCTGAAATACTATTACTCTCCAATATCATTTTTATAGTACCAAGTCTAATATTTTTATTAGTAGAATTATAATGTTCAATTAATATCTTTTGATATTGTATTAAATCTATATATTGACATATGTATACCAGTGTATCATGTGCTCTGGTATATACAACTTTATTAGTTCTTCCACTTAACTTTAAAAGTACAGATAAAATATTTGTTATATTTGTCATTTCATGCTTTAAAATTTCAAAAAGTTTTTTTAAAAGATTAAGTGATGTTCCAGACAATTTAGACCTTTCAGATAAAATTGATCTTAAAAGTAAATCTAATGAATTATCCACAAACAATTTACATTCATCATATTCACATAGTTCTTCTCTTAATTTAATAAAAATTTTGTCTAATTTTGACCATGTAACTTCATCTTCTTTTTGTTTACCTAAATTTATGCATTCTTTAAAAAGTTGATTATTTAAAGCTGCCATTTAAGGGCGAAATGATAAAAAAATATTTAACAAAAGACAAAAAAATAGATTTATAGTAAATTATTTGTTTATTTCATTATTACATATCCAATAAATTTTATAGTACTCTTCAGTATTTTTAAAATAATTAACATCGACGTTACCAATTAAATATGGAATTCCCAATGCCAGTAAATTTACAATTATTGCTTTTTTCTTATTTGTGTAACTTGTCCCGTACATTCTTTTTAAATATATATTTATTTCATTAATAAGCAATTCTTTGTGTAATTTGTCTTCTAATTCATCTGAAGATATAAACATCGGTACGTGAGATAAATTAAGATACCTGTCATCTAACATTTTACAAAGAGAATCTTCTGAGAAATCCTCTAGATTTATAAATGCATTTATAATATTGTTAACTTTTACATTTAGACATTTATGTTTAAAGTCTTTTTTACAGACTTTAACGATGTACGGGGACGATAAATAACTATTAATATTTTTATAAATTTCTGGTACTTTTTGACATTTTAATAGTTTTTCTTTATCAAAAATTTTAGCTGTAATATCTCCGCTAGTAATGTCAATACAAAACTGTATTGTTTTTATATCTTCAGGCAGTAAATCTTTATGTGTTATATGTTCTTTTGCCAATTCATATAATGTCACTATTGTAAATAAATCTTGTACTTGAAGTAATAAGTTACATTTATCATTTAGAAGATTTACAAAAAGTTTTAGAATACAGGAATTTAGAATTTCTAAATGATACAATAGCCAATTATCTAAACGTGCCAATAAAACATTTTCCGTCCAATTTGGGCAAATATTAACTTTTAATTTTTTGTTTAATAATACACGCTGTATATTATTAAAGTTGGCATTTACTAGTTGAGCTATTAGCTTTTCTAACTTTTCTTTTCTAATTAATAATTCATTTTTTTTACTTCTTTTGTTTTCGATCTCTGACATTAATAAGGCTTTTTATTTGTTTGTTTGAGGATGATTTTATGCGCAATAGATTTTTGCAAAATTTTTAAAATTAAACAAAAAGACTTTTATCAAACGAGAATTATAATCTTATAGAATTGTTTTACTGTACTTTATCTGTAAGATAAAAAGTATTTTTTTTAGATTGTAGCCTATTAGTAGCATTTTTTTATAATTTTACAAAAATACCAGTTAGAATGCATTAATTTGTGCTTTGTTAATATTCAATTGAATATAACAAATTTTAATTTAATTTTAGTAATTTTTTAAAATTCGTTAGAAACATTATGTCTTAAATTTTACGCTTAATAATCTACATTTTTAAATTAACATTAAATAAACTATTTTTTATCTTTTAAGTTTAACCTATTTTTTGTAAGTCGATAATGAAATTCAAGAGAGATTAATGCTCAAAATAGTTACATTCAATAAATAGCTTAAAGTATAATATTTTGTCGGTATAAGCTTTTTTGTTTTCACCTAAAACAGTTGTACATATTTGTTTCAGTATTATTTTAAATTAAATATTCGTAAATGAATAAATGTCAAAAAAAATAGATGTACATATACGATTAAATCCACTTAAAAACAATACTATCTGGAAGTATTCTAATAATAAATTAATAAGGCTAAGTAAAAATCAAGAAATTTTATATGAAAACTTTAGCAATATTTTATGCGAAGAAGATAATCACGAAGTTTATAAAAAATGCTTATCTAACAAAATTTTAGAAAAATCCAATTGCACAGTTTTTGCATATGGACAAACTGGCTCAGGTAAAACGTATACTATGCTAGGAAATAAGTCGAATGGAATGATAATGTATTCATTAATAGATCTTTTACATAATTTTAAATTAAAAGTATCATATATAGAGATTTATAATGAAAAATTATATGATTTATACAGTAAAAACGAATTAAAAATTTATTGTAAAAATGATAAGACAATAATAAATAATTTATCGTATATTACAATTTCAAATGTAGATGAAGCGGAAAAATTTTTAGATCATTGTGAAAAAAATAGAACATATGGAAATACAGAATTTAATTCTAAAAGTAGTAGATCACACACAATATTTCAAATATCATATTTTTACAATGAAAAAGAAATAATAATTAATTTAATAGATCTAGCAGGATCCGAAAAGGCTTCTAAAAATGAAAGTAGAAGGACTGAAGGGGCATTTATAAATAAAAGCTTACTAGCATTATGCACTGTAGTAAATAATTTAAGAAATAATAAATATTTTGGCTACAGAGATTCAAAGCTTACACGTTTACTACATAATTCTTTAGATGGAGAGACAAATATAATTGCATTGTGTACTTTATCTCCTAATGAAGAATGTGTAGAAGAATCAATATCTACTTTAAATTTTGCTGCACGTTTAGCAAACCTTGATTTAAAGAAAGTTGTGACCTGTACAATAAACAATGATTGTACTAATTTAGATTTATCAAAGGTATCAATACATGATATTAATTTAAAGCAAGGTTTTTATGTAGAACAATTTATGAAACTTAACATGGTTAAATACGACAATAAAATAAAAGAAATAAATGATAATGTAAAAGATGAGACTAAATCAACCTCCTCAAATTTAAATAATAAAGATGTACTAGAATTAAAACCTTTTGTTCATAATATAAAAGATACGTATAGTAAAAATGACAAAATTGTACCACTTCTCTATGACAGAATAGAAAGTTTAGAAAAAATGCTTATCAAAATCTTAAAAAAAACAACAAATAAAAATGTAAAAGACATTTTTATGTTAGAAAAGCATATGTTTAATTTAAAATTAAAAAAATGGCAGAATTAAATTTATGATTTTTAAGCCCTCAAATGACAGAAGAAAAAAATCCTATTAAAAACATTAGAAGGACGACTCGAAGTAAAACGCAATTTATAAATTTTAATAAAGATGAAATTAGAGATCTAAGAATGGAAGTTAAAAATTTAGGCTTTAAACCTGAAATCGATGAAAACCCCGAGATTGAGATACAAAAAAATATTTTTGTCTTAGGAGAAACAGTGGGACTAAAAAATAATATTGAAAAATCGAGGAGTGCAAATAAAATACAACACGAAAATGTAATTGAACAAAAAATTACCTTTAATAATACACCAGTTGAGAAGTCCGAACCACTTACAGAAAAAGAACAAAGAACATATTCGTTTAAAGACCTATTAGATTGGGTACATAAAAAAGAAAAAAGGGAATTATATCCTAAAAATAAATATGACTATTCATACAAAAAAAATAAAAGTGAGTTTAAGAACCAAAATGAACTACTTTATGAGGAAAGGAATATTGTGCATATGAAAATAGAAGAAGAAATAATCCCAAGCTTGAAAAATAATCCATTTATAATTGCTGATAAATATTTAAGAAGTAAAAAAAATATGTAGTTATATATTAAATGTACTAAAATTTATAAATTATTTGTATTTAATAAATAAAAAAGCTTATTTTAAAAACATTTATAAATTGCTATATAAACGTTCTACTCTAGAAAGAATGTTATTAACTCCATCAAAAAGCCTATTTTTGTGCAAAATCTCAAAACTGTCCTCATATACATTAATTAACAAAGTTTCATCAAATCCCGACACCTTAATTTGTCCATCAAGCTCTTCCACAAAATATGATGCTTTAAGAAATTCTATTAAAACGTCTTTCTTGCACATTTTATTTTTTTTAATGTTCTTTACATTATCTGTAATATTTTTCACGATATTATTAATATTCAATGCAACTACATCATCAATATAATTACTCTTCCATTCAAGAATAACTTCATCATTTTTAATTGTAACACTGATATTTCGTATTTTAATACCACCATTAATTTCCAAAACTTCTTCGAATGAATCGTACAAGACCTGTTTGACTAAAAATGGTGTGCAATTATACGGTATCTTTTGTTTTTGTAAAAACACCACTTCTTTAAGTTTTAATTCTCCAAGTTCATTTTTACGATAAATTTGTATATCCCCAGAATTTTCTACAAGAATTCCTTCAAATTCACCTTCAATATCGCCAACAATACTTGCTTCTGTTTTCTTTTTTACATCAAAAGAACCTTCTTCGCAATTTCTAAGTGTATATAGTTCCATTTGTACATTTTTCTTTTCATTTCTTTGTGCTATAACATTCTTTAATCTATTCATTTCATTGGCTTCTCCGTGTACAAAAAATAAATGATCAGGCTGGCATTCGTCAATAAATTGAACATTCTGTGCAAAATCAACGTGTGCACTAAAAGAAATGTAATCCACTGACATATTAAGTTTAAGAACATTACCTTTCATAGACATTACTTCTTTAGGTTCATTTAGTATTTCTTTTGCAAGTGTTCCATCTACAGAATACCCCGGAATTATTACCCCGTTTCGCCTATCACCACACCATTTTTCAAATAATTCCCTTGAAAGGCCGCTTTGTAACATTCCCGGACTTGCCATAATTACACATGGACTATTATCTTCAAAGAAATCAATACTTTTTAAATTTTTAACATATTGAAATGCAAAAGGATTTTTAATTGAACTGCTTTTTTTGATATGATCATTCATCATATTAATATAAGTCTGATAAATACCAATACATTTTTTGGCTAATGCTGATGCATAATATATAGGTATGCTATGTAGTTGTGGATTATTAGACCAGTGTTCATCCAGTATTAACAGTAATTCTTGCGCTCTCCCCAATGCAAATACAGGCAGTAAGCATCTTCCTCCTCTTGTTACTATTTTTGTGATTGTGCTTGTAAATCTACTTTCACGTTCATCCCTAGATAAATGACATTGAACACCATATGTACTTTCAGTTATTAAAGCATGAATTTTACAATTAGGACTTTCCGCTGCTTTTAAGTGTCTATCTTCTTCTCTGCTATAATCTCCTGTATACAACATTACAGAATCTTCTATCTTTATTAAAAACATTGCAGCACCCAATACATGTCCTGCGTTTAAACCTATCACTTTAATACCTTCAATATTAATTTCTTGATGATAATCAATTGGAATAATCTTGTTATAACAGTTATTTAAATCCTTTTCTGTGTAAAAATCTACATCAGAACTAGCATTAATAATTCTTACATAATCATTAAGCATCCACCTTAAAATTGCTTTAGTAGGATGTGTCATAAAGACTTTTCCTTTAAAATTCGTTTTTTCAGTTAAATAAGGGAGACCTGCTGCGTGATCCAAATGAAAATGTGTTATAAAACAAGCATCTACAGTACTTAAATCAACTGTGTCTAAAAAAGGCAAAGATGCAATACCAGTGTGTGCCGAATGAACACCACAATCAAACATAATATTTTTATTATTATAAGAAATTAATATACAAGATCGCCCTACTTCATTTCCCGCACCTAGTGGTTTGACTTTTATTTTGTTCATTAGAGGGTAGAAAATATAAATAAATTTAAAAAAAGAGCATAAATTACCAAACAAGTTTATTGAACTATTTACCCAAATCATATTTACTTCTAATTAGTGATACGACTTCTTCACTACACATACCAAAGAAATCTTCTGTTGTAGGATATTCTAATGGAAATGCAACAGCGTTTTTTAATTCTTCCCATACAGTCCTCCCATCTCCTTTTAGTGAAAACCCGTCATCAGTTTTTATTTCAAATATAAGGTAATTTTTTTCGTAAAGTGTTCGACAGTGATAAACTATATAATTATCATCCAAAACCGGATGTGATTTATATTTGTAAAATAGCCTTTTGCTTTTATAACCTACAGTATAAAAAATATTTACAAGTTTACTTCCCTTTACTGGGTACTTGGTAGGCACACCAATACTGAATAAAGATAGAATATGCTTATTATTTTTTAAAAATATAGGAAATGAGGTTATGTGATAATTTGGTACAACATTGTATGTTTCTACTTCCTTTAATTGTTTACCGTAGAGAACAGTGTAAAATCCTTGTATGTGAGATTCTATATTTACAAGATCTTTTTTTCTAGCACTTATTTTCTTTTTCAAGATGTCTCTATTTTGCAAAGACTCTGTAATCTTTTTTAGCAAGAAAGCTTTATCTGTCATGGGTCTAAAAATCTAAAAAATAAGTAATTTTTAGTTTTTAATTTATTACTAGCTACCACTATCCCTTTTAAAACGGGATTACAATATGATGTATGCTTTCTCTTATTTAAATTGTGTCTTAATATTTTAATGTGTGTATGTATTGTTTAAAATTTAAACATTGCACTCTTTTGATTAAAAAATGGCAATAGCGCACATTTCATAACTTACATAATTGAATTAAACTAAAAGAAAATGTTTGCAAAATTTTGTACCGTCCACAGAGTAATTACTCTAAGCTGTATATTACTTTTTATTGATAAAAAATACAAATAATTTCACAATTTTTTAAAAAGAAAGGTTAAAAAATAAATAAATATTCAGATTTAAACTTTTTATATATATTGATGACTAGCTTACGCTATCCCGTTAAAAACTGGATTTCAAACTTATATTGGTTTATGTATTTACTTTTCAAAAGTATAGTATGTCATTGTAATAACTCTTTTTGGTATAAATTTAATATTTTACTATAAATTAAC